TGGAGGGGAGGCAGACACTAATCTGGGCATGATTGAACCCACCTGTGGGACACTGCATTTATATCGGTGAAAAATATAGAATTGAATGCTTTTCATATGGATTAATCACAGAGGCGGCTGTTAACTCTTTGCTTGCATTGAGTCAATATGTTGGCTTAAGATGGTGCCTGGTAGGAGGGTTCCCACAGTCATGGAAAAAATCCTGGAATGTCATGGAAAAGTAATGGTGGAGTCATGGAAAAGTCGTGGAATCCCGTACAACCCATTTGGATGATGCGTAGTATTGAACCTTGGCAGTCTTCCAGTTTTCTATATCCATGAACTTCTTTTTTATGCATACATGCTCTATACTGGTTGCTTGTGCATATGTGGTGCATATAGGTATTGTGTAAAACTGGAAGGCTGAAAAGGTGTGGCGTACCTTGTCTCCAGAGCAATAGGCTCCTAAGATGTCAAAACAGAGTAGGCATTGGTCATGAAAAGCCCTAATTTATTATGGAAAAGTCATGGAAAAGTCTTGGAATTTCAAGATTTCTCTGGGCACCCTATCATAGAGAAGCTGTGCCCATAAATTGGCTTTAACATCAAAGCTCATTATTTTATTCCCATCTTATTACTGCAACTAATGCCATACTCAAAAGAGTTAACAAGCTGAATAAATATGTTTGTGTGCCTTCCAGCACACTTTATCTGTTTCCTATAAACTGAGCTATCTACCTTTCATTTGTGTTTGATTGGCAAAAAAACTGTGAGTGCATCTTCTTTAATTATTCAAATATGGTAATCCAGACATGATGTTCTTTATCTTGTAGATCCTCTTGCCAAATCGACCCCCAACAATTCAGGAGGCAGCGAGGATCTCTCGGAAGAATTGTACGATGACACGTCAGCCCCTGCCCCATCGTCCGAAGCCAATGATGACGATTACGGTGACACATATGAGGACCTGGATGCCTACCAAGCAACCAAGATAGGTGAGCAACCAGGGGCAACTGAGACGCCTGCAGTTGCCTTGTTTACGGGCGACAATGAGGAAGACGGGGAGCCAATAGAGGAGGAGATTTACGAAGACGTACCGAATGCCAATGAGCCGCCACCAGCACCGTTGCCTGAACGCATTCCAAAGCCCTCGGCTGCTAATAAGCCCTTACCACCAGACCCCCCGAGGTCTGGCTCCCCGCCCCCCGTGCCAACCACCCACCGACCGATGCCTGCTGCACCCGACACGCAAACAGCAAAGCCGTACTCGCCACATACGCAAATCAAGAGCTACCAGGGCAAGAACGTCAAGAACATCAAGACGGGATCTGGCCCAGCTCATGCCAAACCGGCAATCACTTCCACCCCGGGGCCCCCTATCCCCTCCCGCTCGGCCCCCGAGATGATCACAGCCCTGCCCAGGAAGGAACCGTGGGAAGAAGACTATGCCAACATTTACATCGGATTGTGGGACTGCATGGCTGACGACCAAGACGAACTGGAGTTCCGACGAGGCGAGATGGTCCACATCATCAGCAAAGAGTACGACCCTTTCAGCTGGTGGATCGGTGAGAAGAACAATAAAGTGGGTCTGGTGCCCAAGGACTACCTGATGAAAGCTTATATGATTTAGTCAGTAAACCCATGACAACAAATGTATGCATAATAGTGCCAAATGCCTTTGTCTTTTCATTTGCTAATTAAAAAGCATCTAATACAAAACAACATATTTTATCCACTTTGGGCTTTCGAATTATCGTTTACTTGAAGGTACAGTTACCATTCCATCAGTTTTGTTCACAGTGTTGGATTTGGATCGGTATTAAAGAAAACTTTCTTTCAGCAAACAGAGGAAGTTGGCTAATAGATTTCATTCGAAATGCAAATTTCTGGGTTCCATTTTGTACATTTTCCATTGCGCTTTAACTGTTTTGAGCCAATCAAAAAGTTGTTAAAATGTATCTTATTTTTGGGCCCACATTTGTATATCTATTTAAATGTATATACTAATCATGTTAAGGCTGCAGGCATTTCCAGCCATATATTTACAAGTAAAATCTGTTAACTGGTCTATTACAAAATTATACCTAGTGAAATGATAAGAATAATATAGTTTTCTATCAAAAGTCTATGCCAAGTCCTATTTTAATTATTTTTCACTATTTTTCCTAAAATATGAATGTATAGTAATGCAACAGTCACGGAGAAAATGCATTAGTCACAGAAAAAAAATATGCAATTTAATAGGTAAATACTTCCATCAACATGTACTAAACAAAGGAATTTGCACCTAGCTGTGTTGACATACCCGAAGCTTTGAAGTTCATTTTTATATAACTCGGCTCGTAGATGATTTAGCGACATACATGTAGTTTGTGTACATATCTTTCAAGATAACCTAATCAAGTGGAATGGAACTACATGTACATGTACATGTACATTGTATATGTACATGTACATTGTATATGTATGTAAGATTTGGGAATGCTTCGGCACTTTTGTACATTTTTTGCAAGGGAAATCAACATTTTATTTCAGAAAGAAAAAAGCTTTGAAAGAGGAATTCCGTTGCGTACCCAGGCTGGCCAGGTTTGGGAATAATTTTCTCTTCCCCTTTTCTTGGTTTTATAAATTTTTAATTTTCCTAATTTTTTTTTTATTATTATTATTTTTGTGTTATCAATAAATATCAGTATGACATATTTTTGAATTGCAGTACACTGTATACAGATATTCTAAGCTTCATGTACAAGTAGCTGGTATCTACAATAATAAAAACACAATTTTGGTGTCCATCCTTCATGTCCTTTCAGCAACTTTTTCTCAAAATTACAATTTAAGTTACATCAAAGCAACTTACGAAGTGCAAAAGTAAGAGTTTTTATTTTAATTTAATGTTCATATTACTCCGAGATGAAATTTAATGCAGAACATTTAAAGGTATATATATTTTTGTGGTATAATTGACCGATAACAGGTACATGTTCATGAATTTCAATATCTGATCTCTACTTTTTGAAAGTTGTCTGCACTATGCAGAACTGCATACTTGTACGTATTGCATGAAGTGGCTTACCCTGATATATCTAGGGGAAGGGGAGGCATTTACTTCGAACCCTAAATTGTTCTCATTGCACTTTTGCAGAACTTTGTTCTCGTCCCTTCCCCCAAACAAGTGAGATGGGGTGGGGGATACACACCCTCCCCCATTCAAAAAAGAGTTATTTTAAGGTCAATCTACACATACATACAGTAGTCATGTCAATTTAAAAAAAGTCTTTGAATTTTGTTTCCAGTCCCATGTGTTTTGTTGGTTTTCTCACTTAATTGTAACAAGTGAAAATGTTGAACTGAAATCAACCAAGTCTACAAACATTTATGCTGGCTTCTATAGTGGAACAAATACGAGTTACTTTTGTATTGGGTGAAATGGTTCAAAATATCAATACATACATTGTAGATGCTTATGAATGTAGAACTGACAGAGTAAGTGATGTAAGAGTGAGCAATAAAAACGCATATTGTTGATTGATAATACACTTCTGAAGCTTTTGGGTTTCATTTTGAACAATCTTTTGTTAGCCTGTCACTAAGTCAACCGCAGATAACGGACACTCCACTTTTTGGGGATGGGCCAAAGTAAATAAGTTGCAAGAAACTAAGGCTAGATTTCTTTGTCTTAAATGGCTGTATTTCTTCAAGACTGTATTTTGCTCACAGGAAATTGGTATGGGCATCAAAACATATTTCTTTTTTTTGTCACTCGTTGCCAAGCTTTCTCATAAAACAAGGTAACATTTGTGATTGTTTTTGCCACATCAGAACTGGGCAGAGGTAAAATTTTGTTACACTTTTCAAAATAAGCCAATTTTAATGTTATACTCTCATCTGCAACTTGGAAAACTGCAAGGGAAAAAAGTCGAGTGAAAACTTCAACAAGTCTTAGTTATGAGCTCCACGCACAAGTACTCCTTCAACAGCCGGAAAAGGAGAGTTGGGGGAGACCTAGACTGGTTCCAGGTCCATCCACTGGGTATTTCGAATGATCAAAAGTTATTGGGGGCGGGGATTAGTTTGGTAGACAATTGCAAGTTCAATTTGAACGTATACGCGAGCCAACAAGGCCCTACACTCATGCAAAGATGCCGTGGCTAATAGCTTTGGCACATTCAGGAAGTCGTGCCTACTTTGCACGCGAACCAGTACAGTACAGTACGCACACGCTGTGTGTCCTGTCCACAGGGCTCTCAAAAGTGGTAAAAACGCACCCTTTTTGTTGGCGCACGGAGCCCAAACCAGTGGAATAGATATGATTGAGGAACGTAGCTGCCCCCCCCCCCCCCCCTTCCCGAAAAAAATAAGAAAATAATAATTCTTTCCGACCACGTGTTGTGTGGATCTGGGGGAGAATTGTCAAGATTTCTCCTCATTCCTGTATTTTTTGTGACATTTTTTTGTTCCAGGAATTTTAACCAGTTCACGCCGGAGGCCGTGTTTACACGCAAATGTTTTGCAGTATTCGGAACAAATGACGGATAAACACGCAACGAGCATGGCCAGAAATATCTGTCAGCGACGTGCTCGCAGCGAGCGAGGCTGGGAATATGAGTGTGCTGCCAGAGGGTGATGGCTTCAACCCCTCTGGCTTGAGGTCGAGTAAAAAGTAATCCCGCGCCTCGTTCCGTTCTTGTAAAAATAATCCTGGCGTGAACTGGTTAAAGAACCCTTTTCAAATTTGAATTTACAGAGGTTTTACCGTGTTTGTACCGTGAATTTACAGAGGTTACAGAGTTTGTACCATGAACTTACAGAGGTTTTAGGTGTTTTTACCTATAAAAGTATGGAACAAAAGAAATTGGTATTGTAAGGGCTGCCTTTGGGCAAATACAAACATATACCATGGATCCTACACTGCTATGGAACCCTTGGCGACCCAATCTCAGCCCTGTTGAATTCAATTTTGAGGGAAAGAACTGGAAACCGTACCAAGAATAAAATGACACTCTAAAGCAATCACAACATTTGTACATACAAATACACATACAAAATGCTTTTATTGTAACTAAAATAGTGCCCGGTTTGGCAATGGATAAAAATTCAAATTTCTTTTATGTTTTTAACAATGTTTTATTTTAAATTAGGAAATGTTGTAATTATTCTCAGACAGTAATCCTTTGTACATGTACCGTAACCTCAACACAAGTAAATGGCATTTCACAGAGAAACTATTGAATGTTTTTGAAAGGTTGCCTTTTCCCCCCAAATTAAAACACCGATATGTTCAATTCATAGTTTCAGTGAACATGCAATCATGGTCCAATTGTATGTGTACCTTAGACTTGGTTCCAGACATCAAGAGTCCATTTCCCCCCCACATATATCAACTGCTGCAAGGAGAACGTTTGCAATGTTCGGCACGTCCACAGAGTAAAAATACAAGTGTGTCTGGAAACAAGACTACAGGCACATGTACTCATCCAAATTTGGGCCCAACTTTATTTTGCTACTGTAAAAGACGCAAGTTCAGATCTACTTACATGTAATAATTTCAAACCAAAAGTGAATTATATGCCAGAAATTTGAAGAAAAAAAAAACACCTGTTGAAAATACACATAATGAAACCCCAGCAAGCATCCTGAATGTGTGGCTAGCAAGAAAATTTCCACTGAAAAAAAAAAGGAAAAAGAAAAGATGAAAAAACAGAAGAGAGATACGGGCATCAAATACAAATCTTGGACAAGGATCATGCAATCTCAGTAACAAGCTCAATAACTGTCAAGGTTTAAAGCCAGTCTGGTTTCTCCATTAAGCATGTTAAGCAATGTGCATGTACACAAATTGTACATACATTAGGTAATCTTACAAAAAATTGATAGTGTTAAGAGGTTTCTTGTTATAATAATGAAAAACAACAATGTGAATGTCTGCAATTTACTTTTCAGCCCGATTGTTTTTAAGGCAACCACTTTTCAAGTCTGGATACTTTAACTGTCCCAACCGCGTTTGCAATCAAAAGATCGCATTATATGGTCGCCAGTGAGTATAAAAACATATCAGGCTTGTGCAGACACGTGCCGAAACTGGGTAGAAATGGTTGAATGCTATGTCTTATGGTTAAGCAGTTATGATGTCCGAGGGCACAAGAAACAGTCCGTGTCATATGCCATTTCAGATGCTACATGCTGGAACCCACTTTTTGTGTGTGGATATTTGTGGAACTTACTTTGTGACAGAGCTTTACACAAAGTTCATTACCTCACTGTACCTGTTGTGTTTGTTGTATTTGTGAATGCACAGTGTACATACACATGCAGAAACTTGTTGTCATTGAATGTCATCTGACAGTCAGTCACACTATATGAATTACTTGCAAGATTAAAGTTATTTTTTCTCTTTAAACTAAGTTAACTACATGCAGATGCCTAGTATCTACTGAACCTCAAAGCAACTGGCAAATCAAAACTGGACAAAAAATATCAGTTTCGATATGGATAATTAATTTATACAAAGCGATAAAAACAACAGCTTTAATTAAGTTTTTAACGGACAGGACAATAACATTCATTTTAAAATTGTCTCTTGTCGAAAAGAATACAGCCAACCATTGCTGTGTGCCACTGGCAAAAGGACTGTCCAAAATGGCCGGAAATTATAAAACAATTAGAAACATTTAGGGCATTCAAATTGTCTGAAAATAAAAGGACTTCCTGAAATTCAATTAGTAAATGATGCACCTCTGTAATTACACCCAAAATGGACATGCTCCCATCCCATTGACATAATGACAAATGTTTTTTTCCAGACAAAGTTTAAATTTCTGTTTGTCATATTTATTCTAACCTGCAGTATCCTTTAACAAAGTTGCATTATTTCATCGACTTGGAACTGGTTTATGAGGCAACAGTTTTCAACTCTCAAAACCAGGTTAGCCAAAATGTAATTATTAAAAATTTCAAAACCATTTTTTAACCATGAGAACTGATCTGGGTATTAGTTTTAGTTTTTTTGAATGGTTTGGTTCAGAACTACCTGGTTTTTAAAGAAGCATAAACGTGAGGCAAATGGAAGGTGAGACTTGCCTCTTTAAGCAGGTGGGGGGGGGGGGGGGGGGAATGGGGGGGGGATTAGAAGGTGAGGGGCGGGGCTTGGCAGGTGTGGGGGGAGGGTGTTTCAAGACCAACCTAGAGTTAAGAGGGCGGACAAACATCGACAACAATAGTCCTAACATGTTTATGTACAGTATATTTACAAATGCTGTCGCAATTCTAGATTTTTTTTATACACTCGCAGAAAAAGGGGACTTATTTGAGGTCTTCCGACAGGTATCTTCATGAGATCGTCTCACTCAGAAACACCTACATGAATTCTGAATTAATCACACTGAAAAACAAAAAAACAAACCAAAATCTACATGAACATGCACGGAGACAAAAAAAGGAATAACATACAGTGATGTCTATTGTTTTAAAAATGCTAACACAAACAGTTCAAAAAAAAATAGTACATAAATGACGTAAAAACACATTCTTCCATGATTTACATGTGGTTGTTTCCGACATAATAGTTCAATACTTTCCTTTGCGATTCACCGACTCGCTCTTTCGTTTTACCTACACCAGAAGTTTCAGACAATTTCTTAGTTTTCAATATTTCGTGTCTCTCAGAATTTCCCACAGAGGGCTGAAGTGGACAGTGTAATCTACTAAAAAATTTTCTTTTACGAAAGCACTTCCCTTTTTAACTCTTCGCTTATTAACATGAAGTAACATGAAGATAAATTGAACTTTTTGACTTGAACGTTGTTTTTTTTGTTCCAGAATCAAACATTCAAACCTCACTCCAAACTGTAGATGGAAAAATGTTCACCCTCATACACACCGTCTTAATACGGTAAAAACTTCCGTAAAGAAGAAATATCTTCTGTGCACATGCATCTATGAGCCCAGTTTTCATTATCTTTGGATGTTTTTTTCTCTTTCTTTTGGTGGAAAACAAACTCTGGAGAAAATTTTTGGAATACAGGTGTTTTTCAAAAACATTTGAAGTGTCATGGGGAAATGACGGGGCAGGGCGGGGTAGGGAAGAGGGAGGGAGGGGTGGACTCACAATGACTTTTCGGATTTATGCTCGCGATTTGGTTCCTGTTGACTAGATTTTTGCTCAAGCTTTTGTTCCAGTTGACAGGTGCCTCCGTCGTCATCTTTGTTTTCCGTGTGCCAGGTCAGTCTCTCCTCGTAGAATGAGATGACAACCTGAGGGCATTTGACATTGGCTTCCTTGGCTCGGACTAGGTCGGCTCGATCGCTGGATTTCCTGAAAACAACGGACAAAAAGAATCAATGATCCATCTAAATTTGGTGTATTTTAAAGTTGTGTCCTCCATGCTTTTTTCGAGTTTCGTCCCAAAGATTAGTTTCCAAGCAAACAAGATTTTACTGCAATTTTTTAGTCTCTTTATTCCGCCATGTGTTTTTCCCTAAAAACGGTTTTTAATTAAAAACGATGTAAAACTATTTGCTTTTTAATAAGCCAGTTCGGTATTTCAAAAGCGCATGTGCACAATGATATGGGTCACGTGTCATTCGGGATAATCAAAAGTTGTGAAGGCGCATGAATGCGGGCGCATGACGCTTGCGTGTAAATTACCAGCAGATGGGCGTGCGCGTAACATCGTATAACATCACGTCAGCGATGTTATCCCGAATGACCTCAGGTCACTGAAATACCGAACTGGATTATCTCTCCCCCCCCCCCCCCCGAACTTCAAACCCTACAAACTTTGAAGAATCAATCATCCAATTAAAACCACCCACGTGACAGGCTATTGACAAATATAGCAACTGGTAAACTGTCTCAGGTATTTATGAATTTACAATTTCAAATTATTGGCTGCCAGACAATAATTTTATTCTCGTGGGGTAGGCTTGTTCTTACCCCACAATCAATATAGATAATGTACAGACCGGGAGCCAGAGAAAAGTAAATACTGGCGTTGTACAGTTCCATCAATCAGAGCAGATCATGTGTTCCTCACTAGCATTAACACTGCCATTTTTTTTGCCTTACCATTTCATTAAGAAAATAAGATCTCCGTCTTTCTCTGTGGCTCCAAGGATCTTTTCCGGGTCCAGTTTTCTCTCAAATCCCTCAGGCTCGGTCGGAGTCTGCATACTCTTTGGTGCACGATTAACATCTGTCGCCATCCTGACCATCCTAGTGCTACCACCGATTTCATTGGATTTGGCTGATATCTGGGAGATGAAATGGTAGGTAAAAAAAACCCACAAAACATGAAACGGCAGAATGGAGGAGGCCGTGTTTGGAAAGGTGAAGGCCACTTTGTGAACACACACTGGTCACAATAGTTGATGTCAAGTGCCACAATTACTGTCAACTTGCCGTCAACTCACTGTCAGCTCCTTTAGAACACACTAAAGAAAGCGGCACAGCACCACAATAACGAGCCAAAATAGACTGGCTGCCAAATGAGATTTGTGACCTGATTGATCTTGCTACACTGAGCAGGCTTGTCATTTTGACAAGTGGCAGTTGACGGTAGTTAGTACGACCCTCACTAAAAAGCTCCATTGTGTAGGGCTTGCCATGTTAGTGCATACATGTAACGCAAGACGTGGGTGCAACATTTTTTTATTTGGACTTGTATTTACCCGTGGCTTGGGCGCATGACAATCAAGTGTCTGTCATGCATACGCAGTACTGCTCTCTTTGAAACTGTTGAGATGGAATGTAGGGAGACCACACATGCCATAGAAAATGTAGCAAGTGTGCTCACTGTCTCACAAAAATTATCTAAGAGAGACAAGGCTTGCACGGCTAAATTGCTGTTTGGCAGTCAAGGTTCTTGTGATGCATCACAAGTCCATCTCAAGTCTATCACAAGTCATCCAGACCCAAGTCTACTCACAAGCTCAATGGACTCTGATAAAGCATCCATTTGTTTTTGCTTACTTATGCTACTTGTGACCGAACATGAGAATTGCTTGCGATTGAGTTTGAGCGGACTTGTGATCCATTATTTACTCGAGTCATGACTGATACGCGAACCATAGAGACAGCCAAGTCTGTGCTGTAGTTGAGTCCATCACAAGTTAACTCTGGCAGAAAATAAATCGCGAGTTCTTGCTTAAGTCCAGTCACAAGTGATTCATGAGCAATACAAAGGAATGCCTGCGCCGCAGTTCATTTGAATAGCTGGCGACTTGACTTGAGACTGTAGTTCTTGTGATGGACTTACGATGGACTCAACTTCAACTGTGAGCTCAGTCACACCGCGCATGAAATGTACATGTACACCGTTTATAGAATAAACACATACCGGCGTTTCATGAGAACAACCTATACGCAGACCCTAGAGCATGGCAGAGTTGGTATTTTGTAATCGAAATCAACTGAAAACCACAAATATAGGCTTCGTCCCATTCACTATGAATGCAGCCTAAGATCAAGACATAGCACTAACCTCTACAACTTTCTTTGGCTTTTTCTTGGCCGAGTCACCATCCCCTCCGTTCACTGTGAGTTTCCGTTTACTTTGCGTGAGTTGCTTCACCGAGTCATTGTACATCTGGATGAGCTCAGGACAGTCCAGATTTGTCTCCGGTTCCCACGTGTTTTGCTCGCTGCAAAAGATACCAAAGTTTGTTTTAGGACAAAGAACGTGTTGAGAACGGAAGATATCCGAGAAGTTTCCATTCTCTGTTTTATTGGAGAGTTGTTAAAATAATTGTTGCCAGGAATGTAACTGAGAACCCTTTACTCTGACAGTGCTCTCAGCAAAAGTGCCATCACTGCATTGATGAAGATTTCATTTTTGAAATTTCAACATCTTTACCAAAAATATGAGAAACTCTACTTTTTAATAGGGAAAATACACAGTAGCAGCCAATTTCTGTTTAACATTTCCCTGATAAGAAGGGTGCGCAATAAAGTGTGTTGGACCTTCTCTTGCTGTTGGAGTTTGATTTACTAAACAGAAATAATACCTAAACACATTTTTTTTTTTAAAGGGCCAGCTGATCAAGAAGCTGCATTAACCCTTACCCTACTTGACCCTCCAACGCATGCCAATTGTGCCTCAAGAAAATCTCCTATGTTTTTTGCATGGCCCTCCAATATCTGCCATGTCATTTCAAGGGTAACTGGACAGGCACTCCAATACATGCCACAGAGAACAATGAGAGTCCTCTGATAACAAAGTGAGTGCCCCCAGCTGGTCAGTATCAGGCACCCTCCAGGGCCTCCAACTCCTGCCAATTGGAGCCTTCACTGTTAAGACTTGTTATCTGCCAAATAACTGCAGCTGGAGGGCATTGGCATAACCAACTGACATGCAGTAAACTACCCTCAGAGAGTAAGGGTTAATGTTGACTTGAGTTTGAATCTAATCATGAGATGAATTGACAAAATCCTCACATTTTCCCACAATTCTCAAATTGTTATTGTGGTATCAATCCCGTCCACTTAAAAGACTAGTGTGCACAGACCATGCTTACTCCTGCAGCAGAATTTGCTCGCAGGATTGAGGTTATATGGCAAAGTGTGCGGCTGGTTTTTGGAGGATGCACTGTGTCAAGGTCTTGGGCCGGACCTTGTGTTGTTTATGCTCAGTCGTGCACAGATTTAGGCCTACATTATACTTGAAATCCCCCGCACTGCTCCAGGATGTCACTGGCTCTGCCTCAACATATTGACATGATAGACAGTGATTGCCAGAGGAATTTGCAGGACTGAGGCAGTGGTCACCCCTCCAAGGACCTTATTCAAGAAATAATGGATGATTTTGGAGAATAACTTTATGCAATCTGTACATGGAGGCAGTTGGAGGATTTCACAGGATTGAGGTTGCATCCTAGCAAAAATGCCTAGGGAGTTAGGGTCAAGACAATGACACGACAGTAATTCGCCATCAATGCCTAAAGTTTAGCATAATTTTGCTGCTATAACTAACACATCTTTTCTGCTTTTAAGTACTGCCATGAATTTGGGCCCCTGAAGACAGAGTTGACTTTACAGTAGGTCATTACAAGCTAATTTGCATTTGAATGAATTAACATATCGCAGTTTTCCACTCATATGCAAATGTTCACAGTGATCAAGTGGACTCTGACATTTTTGCCTGAAATTTGAGGTGTAACAGAAAAGTTTACACACAAGTGTGGTGCCATTGTTCTTTACCATTTGAAAAAAAAACACCTAAAATCAGGCAAATGCAGAAGGACTTGCATCCCTGTGTTCACTACTGCCTGATATGTCGCATTTTGTGTCCACTGTATTTTCCATTACTGTGCCTGTGTGTAAAAAGGCCCTAAAGCCGTCCTCAGGTTGACCTTGGGACGACAAAGAACAGTCGGGATGGCTTTTCAGGATCAAGCTGCATCTGAGCATATGAATGACAGCAGATTCATATGAGCTACAGCCATCAGGAACCAATCAGCCGCCAATTTTCTGTGACCCGAGTGTAATTGTGACGATATTAAAACAATCGGCATCAGTCGACACTAAAAAAAGTAGCAAGAGTGGAACAATTTCAACTTTTTCAACTGCAATGTGACTTCCTGAGGACGAGAATCAATGGCAGTCGACCTGTGTGAGCATACAACATCGTGCTCACATCCGGATTATATAATCTTATTGTGAATCATTGTTGGCGACATGAGCATGGTTGCGATCATTGTGGTCGAGATGCCGCTTGTTCCAAGATAATTACAGAATTTCTCAGTTTTGTGATCTAAGCGTGACTTCTGTGGTTGATGCCGAGGGTACCGTTGTGGAGCAAGCAAATCTCAGGTCGACCCTAGGCCAGCTTTGGGCAGCCACTTACTCTGGGTATCCCTTCCATTTGAGGAGGTACTCCACCTGGCCTCCTTTCACCCTCTTGTTGAGGACTTTCTCCACCTGATATTCTTCCTCTTCTTCTTCTTCGTCTTCCTCGCTTCTCATTGGATCGTCTTCCTCCTTCTGAGCCTTCTGGGAATCCTCAGGCCTCTTTGAACTTTTACTCTTTGGGTTGCCTCTTCCCATATTTGTATTTGTGGCAATTTATGTCACTAACACAAACACAAAAAATAAAAATGCACATTAGGCATATGAAACTGGGCTTGAAATTGAAAAGTTCATTTCCAAGCTTTAATCATCTACTGAGCGTGCGTCAACTTCGGCAAAGCGCACCGCGGCTGTTGCTTGTCATTCCAAAATCTTTGGCGCTCTGTGAAGTGCCCAGATGCAATACGCGACTGCGGATGAAGAGTGCACACAAGAGGGCGCACTTCACTGCAGAGGGCTTCAAAGATTTTGGAATGACGGGTAACAGCCGTGGTGCGTTTTACAAAAGTTGCCTGACCCCTTTGGCCTCTTGTCTTGACTATTAAGTATTATTAGGGTGGCCGGGAAACATATCAGCGATGCCATGCTTGCTCAAAACCGTCTGCATTCTTTGACGAATTACCATGATTTTTGGATAACTAGACCTCCGAAGGTACCGAATTTAATGATTTTGTGCTATTTAGCAGTCATACTAGTAGCTGGGTTGATTTTCTGCTGACAAAATAATTTCGATCTTTAATTAATTTTCGGCTCCCCTAGCAACGGGACGCTCGGCTCACAGGCCATACGTGGCTCTGTGACTGATATACGAAGGTAGTAAGTCCAGTATTTCAGTCACATTTATGGGACTAAAATCAGTGTTTTGTCAGTGATATTAATAAATATAAATAAATTCTCGTCTGATTTTGTCAAACAAAAAACAATTACACCTCTCATATAGTCATAGCTCAGAACCTCATGCCTATATGTTGTTTCTACCTTTCAATGTAATTGGTTACATGGTATTAGCTGCATTAACAACATATAATATCCTTCAATGTACAGGCGTATGAAAGCCCGGTAAGCCCACATTTCACACTGGTAATTTTTCAAAATGGCGACCACCACGTTGTTTAAAAACAACCACCATGACATGCAATCGGAACACATGGTCGAAACTTTGTCAACATTTCCTCTCAAAAATAACCATTAGAACTGACAGATATCTCCAGAAATTCCAACATTAAATGGAAACAAAATCACCTCAGATACAGCCTCAGGTAAAGCATGAAATTGTTTTTCCAGGAAAAGTAATTACTCACGCACTTCAAACAGTTTCTGCCTTCCGTCACACACTTCACTGCATGCAAGGCTAAGGCGGGAAAAAGAGACAGTGAGAGAAATAATTGAACTGCCTAGCGCCCTCTCACGACACTTGAAAGAAAATGCATTGGATTATGCAAATCGTGTCGCAATCCACGTGCACATTAAAGTACACTACATGTGCACAGGCATTGCAAGATAGATTTAGAAGTGCTAGCGGTTGTGGCTTTGAAATCCTGATTATTTCAAGATGTCGATGTACAATTTCAAGAAAATTACCGTCGTTCCGACGGCAAAGGTAATTATTGAACTTTTGTCATAACTTCCAGGTTATAAATTAAGAGGATTATGAGTAAAACTTAAAGTTGATTTGGAAAGAATGGGGGAATGTTCGATCCTCATGTCATCATGATCCTGACATGCCTGACGCCACTTCTTCAGCACTTCTTCAGCACTTCGTCACCGTTTTCACGAAGGGGCGAATTTCATGAAAATCGTCTGTTTTTCGAAATTTGTTTTTTTGGTGAAACTGAATAAATATATCAATATCTACAACCTGGTGAGGCTACACTTTCAAAAGATTAATTAAAATCTTAATTAACCTAATTAACGAATGGGCGAATTTGCCAAAAGTGCCGTTTTGCGTTTTCACGAAGAGGCGAATTTCCGCACTCTATGGTATTAATAAATTTTCAGTAAATAAATACATTGTAATACAAAGGCGCGTATATCACGAAGGGGTGAATTCCATGCGCGTGCAATAAAACGTTTTCACGAAGGGGCGAATTTCAAGGCGCATGCGCAGTGGGGCAGAATCTGCGCGTACTGTACAAAAAATGCATTGACTCAGACCGCAGAAGAAGGGCGAAATCTGCGCGTAGTCACTTTAGCGTTTCACGAAGGGGGCGAATTTGCTAATTGGTCTTAATTGATTAATTCTGCAAAACTAATCACCTATTTTTCTTAAAGTTTGCTACATTTAGGAAGATTAGAAGCTCTTCTTTCCTCTGATACCTAAATCTTGCATATTTTATGCATCTTTAAGTTTCAAATTGTCAAATGAAAAAGGACCAACTTTAAATGTGATTATCTCGAATGTTTGTTCAGACAGTGAAATACTAAATTCGCCTCTTCGTGAAAACGGTGACGACTTGTGTACAAAGTCTATGGAGAGTCATTTCCTACCAAAATTGGAAATGTTTCTCAGTCCCGGATTCATGTTTTTTCAACATTTTTGCAGTGACTGACCTTTATTGACATGATATATGAAGAAAAAAGGGGCTTCAGGTTGCAACATTCTTTCCCCCGGCCCCGAAACCCTGACATAGATAATTTTAAAAGCCTTGCGCTTGCAGTTGCACGTGATTTTTAAGATAAACAATTGTACACGAAGTCCTAAATTTGAAGTGGCAGAGTGGCAAAACTTCCACGCATATGTACATGTAGATCAGAACAATTGTTTGGCCATGATGGCAATTGAGCATGTTGAGTATGCAAAAATGAACCCTTCAATTAATTTGTGCAATTTCATTTTATAATGTTAATTTTTGAAAATAAAGGACAAGGCCTAATACAGGTTGTGTAGATCAGTCCACTTCAATGGCTTATCCCATGGTTTGTTTATTGACATGTTACACATGTATTTCCAGTTCATTAAATTAGAAAAACACTGTGAAAAAATGGAAACATTTACACTGAGGTTTTAGGAGTACCGCAACTCAGACTCAACCTTTGAGACTTGTGACACGGACTTGGACTCGACCTGCATGACTCGAACTCAGGAGAGGGTTAAATACAGTTTCCTGATGCCACTCGATGTTTGGTGATTTGAATACAAGTCTGCTTTTTTTTTATTTGGTCATGATTTGGCAGTGGTAGAGTCCAAGTGAGAACCTTCCAAAGGACTCCAAATAAATCATCACATACTCATCGCCCTCCAAAACCATCAGATTTTACCCCTAAAACATTACCCACATGAATATAGTACTTGCTAGGGTTGATTACTAAATACAGACCTACATGTACATTGTAACACTAACTCGTTTTTTGTGGAATAATTTCACCCAACAGGATTTCATTGACATAGTGTTGTCCAAGACACAACGCAAGACTCCAACGGTCGTCCATAAACACTACAAGATCAGCCGGATCCGTCAGTTCTACATGCGCAAGGTCAAATACACACAGCAGAACTACCATGATAAACTCAGTCAAATCATCAACGACTTCCCGAAATTGGAGGTTGGTTTCGAATTTTAATTTCATAATTTTATTGATAATGATATTGTTAGTTGGTCAGTTATGCAAGTTGGTCTATGAATTACCAGTGTTGCTGTGATACCAGTGACACAATTGTATATTAATTCTTACTCATTTTTTGTGCAGGACGTTCATCCATTTTATGCAGATCTCATGAATGTTCTGTATGACAAGGATCATTACAAGTTGGCTCTGGGACAGATCAACACAGCACGGCATCTCATTGACAAGTAATAAATTCCTGATGATTTCTTTTCCCTCTTTAAAAAAACGATACACTGGCAGTGTGTGTTGTTATGATCATAGTGTATGGGAATTTATAAAACAGGGGAAAAAGAAAGAAATAATAATTTATCAATAAATGCATTTGAGAAACTACAAATCGTCGTGTCTGTCCAACGAGGTTGTATCTCCTAAAATGGCATTTACGCGAAACGCGAGTTTTAGGATGTCAAAGGTCCTATCTCGCTTAAAATAACCCGGATGTACACACAAATCAATGGACATCAAGATACGTTGTTGTTGCACGGAGCGTATTCGCACGAGATACGACTTCGTTGCAGAATCGAGTTACAACCTTGTTGCACTAACGCATCGAAATGTGACATGTACATGTATTATTAATTTGAAAATTATTGATTTGTTTTTATATATTTATTTCCTCACTACCTCAGCGTTGCCAGAGACTATGTCCGCCTGCTGAAGTACGGTGACTCCCTGTACCGCTGTAAGCAGTTGAAGCGTGCGGCGATGGGCCGCATGTGCACCATCATGAAGAGACAGAATCAGAGCTTGCAGTATCTGGAGCAGGTCAGGCAACATTTGTCCCGTCTGCCCTCCATCGATCCAAACACGCGTACCCTGCTGCTGTGTGGCTTCCCGAACGTTGGCAAATCCAGCTTCATGAACAAGGTACACAATTTTGTTGTCTTTCCAAAGAGTTTTTTTGACTGACCATCATAAACTAGGGTGAAATTGCTTGGAAAGCTCCTCAGTTCTAATATGCATCTAATAATGATTTTAAAGGGTATTTAATAACTCATCTTTTTTAGGTGGATCATTATATATCTTTGTGTCCAGGTTTGGACAAGTACCCTTGTCATGATGTCATCAAAGTCCTATATCAAGAGAACTAACAGTCCGATTGCGTTGAAACTTTTGTATGTTTATAGATTGTGTTATGTTTTTTTCTGAAAATTGAGGTGACGTCAATACAACGTCATGTGATTTTATATAAATTTTCAGGTTTTGTTGATTAACGCCATATTTATGGCGTTAATTGTACATGAAAACCAACAACATCAATGCAAATGGATGGAAAAAAAAGAAGCATACCGGTAAACGTTACCAAAAAATTAAATTGCGGAAAGCCATATGTTCTGTTCATGGAACAGACACATACCTCTAGTTATGTATTTGCAATGCTATGGGGTTTTTAAAAAATTGTTTAAAATTGTCTTGATGTACTTTGGTTTTTAAGGATGTACTGCTATGTGAGGTTGTTTTTAGCGTAAGGTGCTATATAAGAAAGTATTATTATTTATTATTATTAGTGCGTAAAGGTATTGTAGTCGACGTACATTCAGTTATGATAGATCACAAGTACATTAAAAGTAGAGACACAAGTAAGTCACAAGTAAAATTCATGAGTCTGGTCTCAAATGCAAGAAGTAGGATGAACAATAACGAGGGAATACTTGTTTTCACAATTTATTTGAAAAGCTTGTGTCTTGACCATCACAAGCACTCCTGTAACAAAACTGGCATTTATTGGCATTTACTTGTCAAATATACCTCTTGGGATAAGCCATCCAGTCAGAATTACGTCAAGCAAACTCTCATCCATTGTCATTTCTCACTGACTTCACCAGGTAACAAGAGCCGACGTGGAAGTAGAACCCTACGCCTTCACCACCAAGTCCCTCTATGTGGGCCACATGGACTACCGCTACCTGCGCTGGCAGGTGGTCGACACGCCAGGCGTTCTGGATCACCCATTGGAAGACAGGAACACCATTGAGATGCAAGCCATCACCGCGCTGGCTCACCTACGGGCGGCTATACTCTACGTGCTGGACGTGTCGGAGCAGTGTGGACACTCTGTGGAAGAGCAGGTAATGTGTATGGAAATGCCTGCCATGTGGGTTTTATACACAGGTACCCCCTCATCAGATCATTGATAAAAAAACAAAACAAAGATAGATTGAGGAGTACCCCATGTTGCCAGGGGGAGTGTGGCCTAGTGGTTAAGGTTCGAGACTCATGATCAGAGGGTCGGGGGTTCGAATCCAGCTGATGGTCATATGTTGTGTCCTTGGGCAAGCCACTTGACTCCACTTTCCAGTCTCCTCTCAGGAGAATAAATAGGTAGCAGCATTAGCTGGGGAGTAATCTCCGATGGACTGGTATCCAATCCAGGGGGAATAGAAACCGGAGATAAACGCCGGCGTGATGGGCCATATTGGCTCGTGTCAGACTTTGGATTTTTTTCTTACCATGTTGCCATGTGCCATCACTCATTGGAGTTGTGGACTCTACCCACAAGTATTCCCTCAATGGTTAGGAAAAAAAGAGTTTCAAGGGACTCCTGTGCTCATTGCCTCAATATGCGTCTGTGCATGCAAAGCTTCACAGATGATACAGGTCAATGCCACTAATCTTAACGTGTGTAGAAAGCATTGGTTCATGTGCCGTCAAAATGAAAATATTCTTTTGTACCATACACGTGGGAACTAGTGCATGTACGCAGTGTGTCTTCTCATGAGTGATACTGAAGCACTATCTGCTATTCACAAACTGAGTCCATGTGGTACATGTAGTACGTTGAGTCAGTCCAAACTTAAACTCGTCCAACTTTCCAGATTTGTTCCCAATTATGTCTCGGCAGTATGCATTTGTTACCGCAGCAGGAACCCTGTGGCTGCTAAAATGACTATTTTAAAAGATATTTGAAAGTTGCGGGGAAGTTTAGGTTATCAAGCTGAGTAGCTCACTTAATAGTCGAGTAGCCAGCCGTAGGTGTCCATTTTGCCTGGATGTTAATCACGTGACCATGCCAATCTTTAATTGACAGGTGGAGCTGTTTGAGAGTATACGCCCCCTTTTCTCCAATAAGCCACTGATTGTCTGTGCCAACAAGACTGATATTGTCACAGTTGATGAACTGGCACCGGAGAAAAAGGTATGTAGACTGAACTCAAGTTTAATGATAAAAAGATAAATGATTAATACATTGTACCATAAAAAGTGGAATTGACTACATTATATTTCTTTGTTGTAAACTGTACACTTAATATAATTATCTATCCCTTGCCCCACCCCACCCCCTATAAAAGAAATACTACCAAGTTCCATAGGATGCCTATTTAGACTGCACTACAACATACTTTGTTCTCACACATATCTTGGCAATGGCAATATTCTTGGCCTTCCAGGTACTGCTTGAAAAATTTCAAGAGGACGGGATTCCCCTGATCAGCATGAGTACGGTCACGGAGGAAGGGGTCATGGAGGTCAAGACAGAGGTAAGTGCATGGCCTAAAATGGAGGAAGTTAAGGTGTATTCCTATAGGTAGGGTGTGGTCAGAAACATAGGGTGTGGTGCTAAAGTAAGGATCTGATCGTGAAGGTAGGAAGTAGTCGTGGAGATAAGGTGTATTCCTTTAATAGGGTGTGGCCCTAAAGGTAGGATATGTGTGTTTCTAAAGATAAAGAGTAGTGATGTGCATCGGGTCAGCTTGACGAGGCCGAACCTACCCGGAACATTTATTTTATAAACCGAATCCAAACCGAAACAGAACTGGACTACCTAAAACCGACCCGACCTGACAACAATTCAAGGAAAACTGACCCGACCCGAACCTGAACTGACCCGAAAGAAAACCCTGAGTATCTGGCTTCGGCAAATGCGTCCGCTTTTTGCGCCTGAACTGACCCGCTTCATGTAAAAAAATGTCGGCTTCCAGTAACTGAATCATGCCGTGTGGCACTCACAATGTGACTTCTGGTGGGCGTACATGTTATAGACCGATCGAGACAGACCGCAAACCATTATTAGTTGCACCGCGTGCAGTGACTCTGCACTAAATAATGTACTATGTGAATTTCCTTTCTTTTTTGGTACATTTCAGTTTATTTCAGGTTTTTCCAAAATGGCTTAACCGACCCGACCCGACCCGAAAATCGCAAACACAAAACTGCAACTGACCCGACCCGACTTAAATGATGGACAAACGGGCCTGACCCGAAGTCTGTTTGGGTTGGGTCGGTTTCGGTTTCGGGTCCGGTCTGCACAACATTAATAGAGAATTGTCTTATTTGTAGGTAGACTTGTGCTCTTAAATGTTAAAGATAACAGATTGGGCTTGAAGGCACATAGCACACAGGGATAAAGGAATATAAGGTGTAAGCTTCGAAAAGCTGCTGAACACAGAAATGTGGCAATCACAGTAAATAATGCCGACCAAAATAAGAGTTTCCAGTCATGAATGCCATGCCATGTATATTGCTTATATCACTTGTGCTCGGCAGATTTTCTGCTTTACCTATTAATTCGCTGACTTGCATTTTCTGTACTGATCCACAAAATTGGGAACAGACTTGACAGCATTGGGTGTATTGTTTTGTTTTGTCAATTTCGAAAAATTTGGTGATTAAAGAAAGTCAATCATCGTCATATCTTGTGATTGTTTTCTGATGATATTCAGTCAGCATTTATTTTTTGACATGAAACATTTTCCGTTTTTTTTGGCAGGCTTGTGACCGGCTCCTAGCTCAACGAGTCGACATGAAAATGAAGGGCAAGAAAGTCAACGAGGTCCTCAATCGCCTACGAGTCGCCATGCCAACACAGAGAGACACAAAGGTAGAAAGCAGCAGTTTTTTTCAGTTGTGTACAAAGATTGCAGTTCTCAAGAAATGCCTGATGGTCGAGTGGTAAATTTGTCGAAAAAGGGGGTTGGGGATATATCAGCACTGTTTCTATTTAGGTTTGTTAGGCCTTAAATTTGAGTCCCACCAGTTCTCAAACAGCACTGAGTGTACAATGCATATAAAGGTTTGTTGTTCGAGGGAAAAAACAATATCAAAATTAACATCACAACGAATTAAAAAAAAACACAATATGAAAGTTTATATCACAAACTCAGGTATAGCCCTGAGTAAACAGTGCTTATAAAGATGTGTTATGTGAAGAGCAAAACCTTAAATTTGAAACTAAATTTTGGACACAAATATTATTTCAAAATCCTTTTTTTTTTCACAGCCGAGGCCTCCATGCATACCGGCAGCCATCGCCAATCGCTCCAGCAAGCAAGCCATGGACGTGGACAAGCCCAAACGCAAGCTGTACCGGGACTACGAGCTGGAGGCCGCGGACGACTACATACTGGATCTCCAGAAGGAGTGGGACGTCGCCGAGGACGAGAAGGACGACATCATCCCCGAGATCTGGATGGGGCACAACATCGCGGACTACGTGGATCCGGATATCGAGGCTAAACTGGAGGAACTGGAACGGGAGGAGGAGTTGAGGGAACAGGCGGGGATGTACGACGAAGATGTGTCGGTGAGTGGTGTGAAGTTATCTGTTGGTTACGGTGTCCCACTCAAGTGCTGTGGTAACTGGGTTCGAACCCTAATGGGGAACATGGTGCAGGTGTTCTCGGGCAATAAACTTTACCAAAATTGCCTCTCTCCAACCAGGAGTGTAAATGGGAACCTGTGAAGGTAGAGACCAGATTGCGCTGATCTCGAGCTGCTGCAGAAAAAAATGGTCTCATGGCCTGACAAACAAGGGGTAATAGTTGTGAAGCGCTTTGAGTTTTTTGGTATGAAGCATTATGTAAGCACCACATTATTATTATGACTATTACTATTAATTTTCAAACAAAAAAATGAAATTTGGCTCTTTGATTTTACTTCGCATTATATTTCTTGATGAAATTGTTATTTAATCTTCAAGAAATGTCTCAATGGAGATGTTGTGATTGAAAATATGGCTCTTAATTGTTCGTTTTTTTTTTTTACAGTCGGATGATGAGGATATGAAGCAGATACGATCTACAGCCAGAAAGTAAGTGGAGACTCAAAGAATATTTGTGTTGTATTTTGTTAGTCTTTTTATTAAAAGATGACTTAACAGATGGTCTTTGGTTCTTAACAGCCGACTGATTTTGGAGCTCAACAATATTTTCAAAAGAAAATTCTTGAAAAAAAAAAATATTAAAATCCACTGTCACATGAATGTATAGGTTTGTCACTACTGTTAGTTATGTTAGACTTGAAAACGATTGATTTTGCAAGAAGAATATATCCCAGCTTGTTATTACGTATGTCATGGATAAATTAGCTCAGGCAATAAACCAATAGAATTTTCATTGGTAATTGAAACTCAACAAACTATGTAGTTGCTGTATTATTATTTCAAGGGGCTTCATGCACACGTACCCCCTCAACGGTAAGAAATGGAGAGTTGGGGGAGACTACTGGGAGAGACATTTGAACGCATTGCCGACAATGCCGGATACTCGGGCTAAGACGCTATGGCTCTGTGCACATTCAGAATAAAATTGGTTTTGCGAGCCAGTACGCGCACGTGATGTGTCCCATCCTCTGGACTCTCGAAATTATATCTATTGACATATTTTGGGACATCTTTTTTATTCCAGGATTCGTGACAAGAAAATTCTGATCATGAAGGCATCCAAGGAGAAACGACGCATCAACAAGCCCCATATGCCACGACCAGCCCAACCGGTATGTCTCTGGTCATGTTTATCAATTAAATATTTTTTGGGGTTTTTTTTTGGGGGGGGGGGGCAGGAGGGGTCAATTTGTGCATTGCCATTTTAACATTTATTGTCTAAACAGGGTTCCTGGTCACTCGGGAAGTCAGGGAAACATTGAAAATGAGGTTCCACTTTTGCAGTAAAAAAAACTCTGGGAATTTGGGAAGACAAAAAAATCAGGGAAAACTTGGGGAATTAGACGGTGACCCAGAAGGGAAAGGTTCATGCAGTGTGGCATATGTGGGTCTCTGTTGCATATGGTAAGGAACGGATGGCTATTAAGAAAGACCATCGCTTGTCAACAAGTTGCCTGTGTATTATCAGTATCTTAGTTGTTTTGCTGCAACCTTCTCTTGACTTCCCAGCAACCTTGTTAAAGTGAAAACATTTCTCATGGAATTTTGGAAATTTCTCAAGGAAAAATTGCGAACAACTCTGGGAATTTTTTTTGTTCATTAAGTGCTTGGAACCCTGTAGATGGTGCTGACCTGACCAGCTTTGTATTTTATGAATAAAAGTTTTGCTTTGTTGTGTTGTCCAGGTGAAGAGGAAGCGATTTGAGCAGGAGATGGCTGAGCTGGGTGTGGAGCCAGCGGAAGGGGTAAATATAAAAGGGAAAAGTTTGCTTCTCACAAATTATCAGGGTTTTGGACCAAATTTTTCAGATGATAGTTTTTGATATTTCATGTTGTTAAAAGGAAACTAATGACTAATTTGTTGAATATCTGTAGAAAAGAACACCATTCAGTAACACTTTAGTGGTCGGCTAAGTTGATGGTAGCATCTACTTAGGAAACTAATTCTTCTTTCAAAGTCAAAGCAAATTGACACTTCAGTTAAAAAAATTTCAGATCCTGCGCTTAGGGTATTCTTGGCTATTTTGGAGTGCTGAAGATATGTTGGATCTGGAATTTACCTGTTAGTGAAGTACATGCCATTGAAAGGGTGAATCTATGTGCCATCACTTTACTGGACTGGGTTCCTCTTTCAAAGAACATGTCCAGTGGATACCACTACTTGGAATGTGTGATTGACAGATACTGCTCAATACATTGAAAAATGTAAAAAATGTAATAAAAAAAAAGGAACGAAACACAAGTTTGTGGAGTCTACAAATTCTCTCTCCCCTCCCACCATCTTTGGTGAGCTTTTCTTTTTTAATCCCAGATAGTTTCCTATCCCACACCTTGTTCGTATGGGAGAGAAAAAACTTCTTTGCCTTGGTACAACTATTTTGTGTTTGTATTTTGCATATTTTAGGGTCACTATACACGGGCTCGATCTCGCAGCAGAACACCGGTGGCACCCAAGAAGCAGCGCACGGACTCGCGGGGCCGATCTGTCAGCAGTATGCGCACACCGAGAGATCTGTCGGGAGTCCGGGACCAGACGGTAAGAGATATACATGTACTCGGGTGTTCCGAAGGAATTGTTGAAAATAAGCAATATTTAGACATTTGTGGGTGATTTTTTTCATTGAGTTTTGTGAAGACTCACAAATCACACGTCATCCAATGCCAATTCATTTCACAAGCTATTCCATCATTGTTCATCCCCTGTTACCTGTTGTTGTCACCTTATTTAAAAAATAATCTACTTTTTTCAACATGCTGTGCATGGTAGTGACATTTTAGATGAAGATTTGAGGTTTACCAAAAAAAAAGGGTATGTGGGCCATTCTATGAATTTAGGGTCCAATGTGTGACATTTTTCCTGTCTCTGTTACCTCTCGACTTTTTAATTTCCCTCTTAAGTATCATCAAAAATTTGTTCAAACTATTCTTATTTTTTTTGGATAGGTAATTTGCTTTACATAAATCACTCTTGGGAGGAAAAAGGCATTAAGGAGTGCGTCCAGAATTTACAAAAAAGTGGACCCCAAATCTATAGAATTACCTATATGATGTATAACACCAGAACTGTCCCCCACAATTTATAAACCCATAAGTCTTCGTACTGCCCAAAACCGCCCTGCCTGTTACTCCCTGCACAGCCCTAAACAACTCAAGCACTGTTTGGTTTTGTAGACTCCTCAGGAAAAAAATACAGTGTAGTAAAGGTGCTAATTAGTTTAAAAAAACAAAAAAACCCAGAAATCCTGTAATTGTAGGACTTACATCCCAGTTAAAAATGCCTGTGCTTTGACTGATGTTCCTTTTTTCTTCTTCGTATCCCATAGCAACAAACCAAGGTCGAGAAGATGAGGAAAGTGGTGCAGCGCAAGAGCAACATGTTGGCCAAGAAGGGCGAAGCGGATCGCAAGATACCCAGCAAGATGCCCAAACATCTGTTTGCTGGCAAGAGAAAAATGGGAACGACGGGAAGACGCTAAAACTGTGTTTGAACGTCATGATATTCTCTCATATTTTTTTTTTAAAATTCTGTCTCTTACGGTTTCCACATATTCCAATTGTATTTGTACCCCCCCCCCCAAAAAAAATGCAGCAATGTTTGCATTGTTTGCTTAAATGTAAAGCAGCCTTACTATACATGCACATTTTCAGTTCATTGCGTTGTAAGGCCAATACTTGAGAATACTCCTAAATACGTAATATTTAAATATGTAATAAACTGGCTGAAAAAGTGGATGTGGGAAAAGCAGCTTTACTCACATCTATTATTTATTCAATCTGCCATAGAAGTCTTTTAATTTAGATCAACTTTAGTGGATTTATTATTTTATTAAGAATTGCCTCTGCCCCATTCTCAAAAACCTCCAATGCCCCATTTTTGTCCCCTTTCGGCGTCTGCCACGAAAAAGCTGTTCAAGCTTTAAAGTAGAGCGTAAAAATGATAAAAATTGTCAATGTTAAATTTGAAGTGACATCATGATGACATCTTATCCATCGTTCAGTAATTTTCTAAACATTTAAATTATGAAAAAAAAAACATTCAAGGTATTTACGATCACATTCAATAATCATTTGCCTGTTAAAGCCTCATGCTCTCTTCATGACGGAACTGGGAAAACTTTTCCTTGGATTTTTAAACACTGTGTGCAGAACAGTTTAACTAATACCAGTTAGTTGAATTATACGTTTCAGCTTCGATTGTATTTTATGACCATACTATTCTTTTCATATTATATCCACTTTTATTTCAGAACTGTTGATAATAAATGACGAGTACAGATTATCAAATGCAAATATGTTTCAGTGCTGTTTTGGTTTTTTATTTGTTTTTATTTTGAGTATGAGCAGAACTACTTGTGAAAATGCAGCATCACTGTTTGCTGTTTTCAACTTTGAGTTGCTCTCCCTTGTGCCATTTTTTAGTTTAATTCCCCCCCCCCAAAAGTTTGTTTTAAAATCGTTACAAGCAATACAAAAGTCCATCACTTTTACTCACATTTTAGTTATATAATATTAGTAACAATAAGCATCTGTACAAGGCTAGTATCAGGGGTCTGAACAACAGCGTCTACATTACTTTAATACTTCAATTCCTTTGTATAGCCTCGCCCAGTAGGGCCCCTGTTTGTGACCGTACAGTGGATTAATCTCATTGCCTATTTTGAATAATTATATACTACACTGGAATTAGAGCCCTTGCTCCTGTCTACAGGATTAATTATAAGAGCCTTTGAATTCTTAAGTAGATTAAAGCCTTCGCCCTCCACCATGGGTTGGGATCTCTATTATTAAGCAAATACTTTCACAAGTGGGTTAAGTGGGTTACTTTTTGTTATTAGGAAATTCCTTTAATTGTTATGCTCCTTCACTATATCCCCGGGTTCCTTGGCCGCATGTGGACTTTCAGACTGGGCGTTGGCCGTGCATGTTGTTTGTAAGTTTATGTAGTCGCGTAGATAGGCCTGCACTGCTGTGGCTGAATCTGTTAATATGTAAGTTTCAGTTTCAATGTCATTCCGACTGTTATTTATATTTGTCTTATTATAAATTCTAGGAAATATTTTGCTTTCGAGTTTCAATTTCCTTGGTTGTCCAAGATGGGACCCCGTTACATTACCTTACAAATATCCAATTATTTGCCGCCCAACATTAATTCAGCCATATCGTTTTGTGTGCTATCGGTGCAAAAGCGAACCAAAAGAAAGTATTTTCAGAGGATTGAAAATGTCCAAGAAGAAAAAGGTAGTTAGTTTTTTCCCCATTAAAAAAAAATACAAACTTGATCATCGTCAAATCAAATATTTTGAAGCGCATTTTAAAGCCAGATTCACTTCATCAAAAACTTGGGAATTGCACAAAGGGACAAGATTCAAAGCACTCACTAATTACCAGAATTTGTGGGTTTTTTAAAAATAATTTTATTATCAAATTATGAGGTCCGCTACTCTATTATAACTATGTGGTTTTTTTCCTGGAAAGAGAAAAAGACAAGCGAGATGCAAGTGATGAATTTAGTTATAAATTTCAGCCGACATTAAAGTCTTTGTTGAATTAAAACAGCTTATATGAATTGGAACAATTTCGGTTAAACCGTTGCAAAAAACAAGTGGTAATGATCAGAACCTCGCATTCATGTATAAATATCCATGTTGTCTGATACAGATTAACTCCCTAACACAACCTAGCTGTAGATTACATTAACCCAATGAAGGGACAAATGAGTCGCAAGGCGCAAGCCGACCTATAAGTCCAGGTTATAGCAAAAATAAACACAGTTATATTGAAACAATATGCGATGCAGAGATTGGGAGAAATGGAAAATCCTTGAAAGAATTGGCAGAGGGTTTCAAGGGCCAAAAAACCTTTATACATGTAGTTATTATACTTTTATTGTAAAATCTCAGTAATTTTACATTTCGGAACTGAGAAGAGATTTTAAAAAATCCTGATATCCTAAAAATCTCAACCATAGAATGACCTACATGTATTTATTGGCTCATCACAAGCAGAGAGTTAACCTCATGAATGAGTATGATTCAAAATGCAACTCATATCCCTTCACACGATCACATCACCTACTGTCATGATTGGTTAGTACTCGGTTTACATGTACTTGGTTAAATTCATGATCAATTTAAGCCCAATAAATTTGTGCTCCCAAAAAAATCCAACCAAAATCAACAATAATAAATTAATTTTGGAACACAAGTTGGTGACCTCACACTTTTTCCGCAAGTGTAAACATCTGGGGGGAAAAAAGAAAAAAAAGAAACATGAATAATTTACATGTTAGCACTCCTAAACGGTGGCATACTAAGGAGACAATACACGTGTTAATCCAAGTATCAGAACCTACTTAGATAACTAGGTGCTTTGCGATGTCAACTATTTGAACTTAAATAAAGCACAATGTTTGCCTCATAAAACTTTTCGTACGCACAAATTTATCTTTGGGGCAGCTTTTGACCCCAATTCTTTTCAAGGCTGGCTGCAATACCAGCCTTGAAAGTTTGCTCTATGTGGATGAAATAAACTTTTTGAAACCCAACAACGTCTTTTTAAAATATTTTTTTTTTGGATTTTGAGTAAGCGTTTAAAATGAATTTTTTGAATTCGGGAGAATAGCCCCGCCCCACAAAAAGAACTGCATTCAGACCCAACTACATGTAGGAGGCCGTTTCTGCGCCAAATTATTGTAAATAGGAAAACAAATTATCAAATACATGTATTTTATTAACATTCAAATGTTCAATTGCGCTGTGATGCCTTCATATTGCAACATACATGTACAGTGTTTTATACAAACATTAATTTTGAGGATTGAAGTATATACATGCTATCTGTTTTCTTTGTACATTTCTTTAAAAAACATGATCTACAAGTGAAAATGTACAATCGGTTCCTACCACAATTGCTCTTGAAAAAATTTCACAAGGAAAAGCACCTGTGTACATACATTCCAGGTGGGAACTCTTTAGGGAAAACTTGATCAAATGCTGTTTAATGAGCTTCGTCAAGTAAAATTATTTATCATGGGTTTCGCTATATTAAAAAACACAAATCACATTAATGCTTAAAATTGACAGGCCATTTTCAGTTAAAAATTTAATATTCACTGCTATCCCTTTTGAAAGTTATTATTTTTATTAATGAATCAAAATCACATGCTAAAATTAAATTTTATCATATTAATACACCAAAAACCAAGAAAGTAAAGAGCATGAACATGTATATGCATTCATTCTTTAATGTCAAAAATTACTGATATTTAAGAAAGCCTATTAGTACCAATAAAAATACACTGCAAGTAGGCAATTGTACTCTATTTAAACAGATTGACCATAACAGTGTGTCTGTTGTGGTTTTGTCATTTATATATTTCAATGGCACTCACGGGCTTCCTTATACATGTATATATATATCTGATACTTGATAGTGCAACAGTGACTAACAAACACTCCAAAATATTTGGTTTCTACAATAAACTGTTGAAAAAACAAAAAAAAGCAACAAGCTTCATCATTCATTCAAATTATGTAAGGTTTGTAGCAGAAGACATAAATTACAGCATGTTTTATTCTTTTTTAGTTACACACCTTATTTCAATATTGGTTTTAAAAAAAAATGTGCTTTAGCCACGATCTCAATCCTTTTGCATCTTTGGGGTGTGATTCATTAACAGTTGTTAACCTCAAAATTCAGAGGTAATCGGGATATTGAATCATCATTATTTTTTATTTATAAGAACATGATCAACATGGGCAAACAACGTTGGTCTGAAATCGACAGATTTGTAAAAATGTAATATCTTTCAAATTTTACAACTTTTAAAGTGATATAAATAAATATTCACATCCAATTGCACAATATGAATAAACATTACAACACTGCTTCGTAGGTATAATGGCGAAAAGTGATTGATAAATGAATTTAAGTGTGTAAATGTTAGTAATACAGAAAAGCAGAAAAGAGTGCAAGAGGTCTGTCAACACAAATTCAAATACCAACAAGTGTGAACGTCGGTAAACAAGTGACATCTACTAATGTTTTCAGGTTAAAACCCTAACAGTCCTGAATCCCCCAATTTTAATACGATTTTGCACAACCTCTAGGGAGTTAGCTACACGTATCATGATTTTATACAAATGTAAGAAATTGTTTCGGTGGTAAAATTGAATATAAAATGTGTAATCTACTGACACAGTATAAACTTATGCATGTGCCCAGAGCAAATGTACTTTTGAAGGAAAGGAGGTTGACTTTTCTGGCAACAGATCTATGTTTTTGTGTGTGTGTGAAATTGCAATCACACTAAAAACCTACTCAAGAAATCAAATCCTTAAAACTGCTAAATACTAAAATACATGTCTAATATGTGAACGATGTACAAAGTGAATTGTTAGGGTATAAACAGCAAACATTACCACGAATGTAGAATTGTTAAGGACATAATATCCCCTTTCCTTCTGCTTTCGGGTGAAGTATACTAACCGGCCTTCACACCCTAACTCCAAGGGCTATACAGAGGATAATGTATCTCCTCTCTTTTTTTGTGTTAACTTTGGACCTGGGGAATGCCCCATAAGATCACCCCCAACCCCCCACGCCTACCCCCTTCCCATTTCCCGGCCAATAATGATATCCTTTTGTCAACATGATCCTACCAAAGTAAATTCTTATATTGAAAAGAGGCAAATGAAGAAAAGAAAAGCGTGCAAGCCATTTTGAAATTTCTATAAAACTGAACAGTGGCCGATTACAGAAACAGCCAGGAATGGTTGTAAAATGCAATTATATACATAAATGTATATGTACAAGTTTGTGCTGTAGTGCCACCGTCTGCCAGATGGTGCACTCCCCCTCTGGAATTTCAATGTCCAAAAAAGGTCACAGTTTTTTTTATGCTTTCCAGTTCACAAAGTAATTTCCAATCTTTCTATGTTCTCTCCACTGACAGTGAAATCTTGACATCCATGTATTTAACCTGCATAAAATGGCAAAACCCCCCAGTATTTTTTTTTATATTTGCGAAAAGGGCTGGCATGGCTGTTCCAGAAACAACTTTGTTTCCAATTTTGATGTCCAAAAAATTTGTTTTCATCTCTATATTTTACATACAAAACCTTCAAAAACAGTCCTCTTAAAACCTGATATAAGTCTAAACATTGTGATTCAAGCATTGTGTCGTCAAACATATATGATCTGCTCTCTGATTGGAGGATTTGCAAATACTGTATGGCCGGGCCTGTGGAATGTCTGACATATAACCTTTGACATATTCCACATGAATATGGGGCAATTTTAACAGATGTAATGTCTTCCAAATTCCAAACTTGATGTTACAATTACAGAGTTTTACTCCATCAAGTTACAAGTATGCTGTGAAAAGTACGATTTCTATCCTATAAAAGTGCAGTTGTGGATTTTATTCTTAAATAAAAAGTATACATGTAAGATTTTGTTCATCTTTGTACAAGTGCTAAAAGCATCTCATATGATAGAGATATTGGAAAGCAGAGCCAATGAGAATTTCCCTAGGCACAGCACTGCATTCTGGGATTGATGTCGATCTACATTGTATTTAAACGAACCAGTCTGTTCACAGTTTAAAAATGGACAGGATTTCAGACTTTCCATTTTTGTTTTCCCTCAAAACATCTCGTGTACATTCCCAAATATACGTACGCCACTTCCCATCATGCATTGCAAGGCACACGCATCGGCCCGTATACAATTTTTGTTTAATGGCAGTTTAATAAGTAAAGTGAGAACCCTGAGTTAAAGTGAAAAGTCTAACAACATCAAGAAATTCTGACAAAGAGAATGTGAGAAGTAAATATAATTTTGAAATTCTACATTTTTAGTAGACCAAGAGAGAAAAGGCATAACTCAGAAAGAAAATAATGGATGATAGTCACAAAGCGTAACCAAAACTTTGCAATGGATATAAATGCTACAAGCACAACATTATTTTGACAAGAATGAAAAGTCTGAAGGATAGTGCTTCAGAGTTTAAAAGTTATGCAAAAAATCATGGCAATTATTGTGGTAAAGAGCCTGAATTAAATTTACTGTGGGCAAGTATTTAAAGAGTATAGAGACAAAAAAAAGGCTTTCGATGGAATGAACTTTTAAATGACCAAAATTCCTTGAGTCTACCTAGACAAGAAAATCAAATACAAAGTTAATTTAATGTTGAACTAAATATACTATCAGGAGAATTTTGTCAAAATAGCAACGAAAGACAATGAAATTAAACTGGTGAGTATTGTGACCTTTGACCTGACAGCGTCGGGGGCCTGGCTTGGGCATGGCTCGTCTGCAGATGGAAAACAAAATACAAAAATGGAACGAATAATAAACAAAATGAAAACTGAAACCTGGAAAGAGGTTTTTGTAGACAAAACATTACATTTATCCCTACTTGAACAAGCTTGATCGAATCTTCTGAAAGACTGCATTTTTATCTGTACAAACGGTGCTATCCACACAAGATATTGATTGTCTTCCAAACATGCCAGTTACACGTACGTCTGTTTTGTTCTGGGATGCATTAAACTTTAACAATACTCACACGTAGATTTTTTGACTACAGTTTTCTGGCATGTGCGTCCACAGCCATTACTGCAGCATTTCTCTTCACTTCTGCAGTTGCTGCATTCATTCACACAGGCACCGACGGTGTCGTACGCTAGGCGGGGGCATTCACCCTCGTCACCAGGCTCTGTAGGTTTAATAGATATCACAGTAAAAACAACAGTATTTGAGGGGAAATTAGTGGGAAATGACCACTCTCGATGCCCTGAGTTTTCCCTGATATTTCCCTGAGAAATTTCCAAAATTCCAAGAGAAATATTTTTGCTTTGACAAGGTTGCTGGGAAGTCAAGAGGTGGTTGCAGCAAAGCAACTAAGATACTAAAACACAGGCAGTTTGCTGACAAGCAATGGACTCCCTTCTACCCTTATCGCTATATTTTCTGTCAGTCAATGGACACAATTGGACACATGGCACAAGACGCACATATGCCAAACTGGCATATCTTTCTGTGACTGGAAAAATTGGAACTCATTTTCAAGGTTTTCCCTCCTTTCTAGAGTGGCTAGAGACCCTGTACCTCTGACTGTCAGCTCCACCGTGACACCAGGCTTCTGTTCCGGTGGGCAGGAGGTCCCGCACAACTCCTGGCAGGAAGGGCAGATGATGGTCCCCGTGTGGAGGTACGCACTGGTTGTCACGCTGATCTCAATCTGCTGACCCTTCCAGGAGCACAGGTGGTTGACTCCTTCCACAGTGATCTTCAGTCCGTCGCTGCCACAGGAATACTGATCAGAAAGGTATTTCACATAATCAGTCATATTTTTGAGAAAAAAATGCTGGCCAGGACTTGAAGTGTGAAATAGCGGCTCAGAGTCTAACACTGTATTCCTTAAGAAGATACTTGTTCGAGAAGGTCCGACCAAATCTTCCTTCCATCCCCTTCCAAAGCCCCTGAACTTGCCTCCCCTCCCCCCCACCATCAAGCTAACTTGCTTGTGTATATTGATAGCACCATGATAGCACCCTGCTCCCTATGTCTGTTGTGCCTGGTACTGATTGCAGTGAGCTTACCACAATCGTCCCCCTCCCTCCCTGCCGTCCTTCCCCTAATGAAGCTAACCCCTCCCAAGTCTATTGACACCCACCCAATGGCAACCTGCTCCCCATGTCTGCTGTGCCTGATACTAACTTCACTGAGCTTGCCTCCATGAATCGGCATATTCAACACATACCATAAGCCCCTCCCCTTTCCTCCCTCTAGCCCCTCCCCATTCCCTACCATGAAGCAAACCCCTACCAACATCTATTGATACCCACCTGATAGCAACCTGCTCCCCATGTCTGCTGTGCCTGATATTGACTGCACTGAGCTTGCCTCCACGAGTCGGCATGTTCAACGCACACTGATCCCATGCCGTAATACTCAGCAGCTACATTCTCAGTACCACCTGTTTGAAAAGCACAGAAATAAGCATAGGTAATAGAGACAATACTGTACTTGCATACATGAGCTGTGCCTGAACGTTTGACAGCTGGTCAGTTGATCAGTCTCAGCTGGACAGCCTCAGTTGGTTAGTCGAAGTGAAACAGTTTCAGCATGATATTTTAGGACATTACTGATACTCAGTGACATTATCAGTCAGTCAATGATTTTATCGCAATGACTTGGTCAACAAAGAAAATTTGGAAACTTCAGTCGAACCACGGCATTTAAAAATTAGTATCACAGCATTGCTAGGACATAATTATTTGACATATTTATTTGCTAAAGGTCACTGGCAAAAGCATACAAATAAATATTTCTAATTCTAAAGCCTATACAAATGATATGCAGTTTACCCACAGTAAGAAATCTTCAACATCCCTCGATTGTTTCCAGTACTTACTTGGCATGTTCGATGATATTCCACATGTCGTGGACTTCTTAGCACCATCGGGCTCTTTGTAATTAAATTGCTGTTAAAGTTAGGACAAAATAAAGAAAACAATAGATGTGAGTCGCCTTTCTGCTGAATAAATTCTTTCACAAGACTCATCAATATATAAAGCAAGAAGAATCTAAAATTTAAAGAACAGTGTTTTTCACACCATATTTTACACCTTGAGTGACTATATATTTAGGTTTGTATTCTATTACACCGTATATTTTACGCAATGCATATTTATTCTTTAATTAATTAAGTTTTATTCTCGCATTTAACTACGGCTTGGACAAACCACTATCACTTCGGTCAAAGCCTAGTTTCACAAAGCCACCTTAAACACAACAACACTGCAAACAAGATGAACTATAAATGTATACAGGTTATTTGTACGGAAAGCAGCATTTTCATGGAATGTCATACCAAGTACAATTACAAGTGACTCAATTCAATCAAAATAGATTTGGTTTTAGACAAGCAATGCTTATGTATTTATTAACTGTCAATTGACTAGACTTTGAAGTCGTTCTGAATGTCTGCAACGATCCACATTTTAACAAATTCACTTCTAAACTGTTTCCAACATTGAACTCTTCATGTACTATATTCAAAATCTTCAAAAACATTTGGGTCGGTGCAACTTTGGAACACCAGTTTGAAATGGGTTTTATACTTGATGACATTTCCAGCAACAAGCAGAGGTTCAATGAATCACCTGTTGGAATGGGCAGTAATCTGCAAGCTCTGAGGTCCCCCCGTACCTCCCTAAATCTTCACTGCTTACGCTGGGTAATGAATCAAAATACTGTAGGAAATAAAGAAAAATGAGATTGGTACAAGGTCAGTCGATCAATAATTACGTACCTTTCTACAACTCTCAAAAGGAATCTGTGCAATTCTTTTTTAAAGGACAACACAAACTGTCTAAAAGGGTACAAAAGGGAAATCTGTCTATCAATAAAATGACAATGTATGTAAACGCAGCATGCACAGTTGAATACTTGGCACTCAGAAAATTATATGTGTAAAATCAAACAATGAAACAAAATCAAGGTTTAGAAGTATCTGAAAAAAAACATCAGAAAAATATTCATAAGAGACCTGAAGAATTTTTTTGATTGACAAATTGGCAAGGGAAAAAAAAAAATCAATAGACCAATCCGATGTGCGCCTCTTCAGTTCCGCGCTGCATGCTCCCGCCACGTCTGTCATACGTGAGTGCACTCATTTCATGGCTGTGATTGGTCAGAACATCTCAGCGCGAGACTTAATGGATTGTTCCATTTGTTTATCTCAGCGTCCTGTGTAGTAAAGTAAAGTCTGTCATGAGCCTATATGGCCCATCAGGCTGGTGCTTATCTCCAGTTTCCTTGGCATGAAACAACCGAGATTACGGTACTTCTATTACCCCTGGATGGCATGCCAGTCCATTGCAGGTTCCTCCCCAGCTAATGCAAGTACCCAGTTTTACTCCTTGGTGGAGAGAGACATGTGGGGGTGAAGTGGTTTACCCAAGGACACAACATATGGTCAGTAGCTGGATTCGGACCCCTGAATCTCGGATCATTAACCATGAACCCTAACCTCTTGGCCACACTCCCCCCCACTGTCCTGTGTTGACATACCTGATATTGTGGCTCCAAATCTCTGTCATACTGATGAAGATTACACAGGGCTACGGAGGCCCGCCCCACACTGCAGGTTAGCGTGAAGGGCTCTGCCCGAATCACGTCACAGAAAGGCGATAAACTTTCCTGACTGAAAGCAAAAAGCATGAAACAATTTAGGACATTATCTTTAGGGATATAAAATCAAATACAAGAGAATGGATCTCACACCTTCTCTTCAAAACATTTTCTTGATTTAGAATAATTTCATCTCTAAACATACCACTTATTACGGCCAGTTCATTCCAGGACCAAATTCAAATTTGTGACATCCAAACAAGTTTCACTGCTAAAGATTCACAAAGTTTTATACATTTCAGCGCAGTAAAAAACTGATGGCATATTTTCAACATCAAATCTGCTTTGCATTAATATCTACATTAACCCTTAGAAACCCAGCTGAATGCCATTCACTGTTTATAAAAACGATAACTCCCTAGTTGTTTTGCCTACTACCCACTTCACAGTGTCATATACGATCTTTGCCTACTACAATGGAGGGTCACGTTGGCTAGTGAGAGCCCACTATCCTTCAAAATCCTCCAAAAACTTTCTCAGAGAATCTGAGAAAAGTTAGGGTACAAAAACAAAATGATCTGATTCAGACTTACGAATTGCGTTTGGTATCCATCCAATATTTACAGCTTTTTGTAGCGAAGTCGCATCCGAGGCCTTTGCCCCAATCTAACGGATCAGCCCTGTCATAATTAGGCTGATACCAACCCGTGTCTTCCAAGACTGCTAATGTGAGCCGAGAAAAGACTCGCTCATGGGTGTGAGTTCCAGTCATTGCTTCATTCTGTTGGTGATAAGGGAAAAAGATGTACTTTCCGTATTAATGCCCAATGAACCAATCTATCTTATGAAATCACTGTGCACTCACGACGGCCCCCGGTAATGGCGGAAGCATTGTACCAGCTATTGTGTAAAACTACCACTCCGTGATGGTTATTCTGATCAGTGGCCGGCAACCATGTCCACGGACTGGTTTACAAATCCTCGTGCTGATTACTCCTACCTTCCAGGGTAATCTGTCTAGAAACCCTGCCCGACTCAACAACACGCATCACAGGTTAAAAGTGAGAAGCCTGCCCAGTGTGACAAAATCCAACAGGGCAAAATTCCCAAGGCAAAACTCCTGCGTGTGTTGTTGCCAACTGCAGTGAGATACAACAGTGGCATTGTTCAACAAGACTAGCATCCATTGTCAGTTTTTTTGCACTGTATGTTTGTGGCCCAATGCAACAAGGACCATCAGACTTATACATCTGTTGCATTAATTGTGTTTGCTCAGGATGCTTTAGGATAACTGTTAAGCAAGGTAGTGATAAATCAGAAAAACTGTGCTAAAATTAAGCATTTAGAGCAAAAACTTGCAAAAATCTGCGCATTTGTGGAGGTTTTTATGAATTCATCACATTTAAAGGTAATTTTTCCATCAGCGTCCAAGCTTTTCGGGATGTAGTCAGTCCATCGCAAGTCCCTGTAAGTCCAATGACAAGTCCTCCAGTCCCAATTCAACTCACAAGCTATTCAAATGAGCTTTGACAAAGGCATTCCTGTGTTATTGTTCATCCACTGTTACGTTTGACTGGACTTGTGATTTACTTGATACAGGACTTGGGATGGACTTGTGATGGACTCGACTACATCCCTGTCTGTGACAGTGAATTACATGCCATTGCTTATGAATTTCAGACTAAAAGGATTTAATGCTCTGTTGGCATAAAATGTGTAAGTTTTACATTCCTAAATAAAAAAACCTTACCTCTAAAAGTCTTTTTTCAAAATGAGTTAATTTGGTCCCGTGGCCTCCGTTGTTTTCCAGCTCCATTCCCTCCAATAAGGAACAGCCAAAATGCTCTCTGGCTTCCCTCTGTACAAAAAAAAGAACATTTTTTTTTTTAAATTGAGGTAACAATTTGATAATCTAAGTTTACTCATAAGTTATATTCTACGTCTGAATTTAATGAAAGATTTTTTGTCTAAAAACAAAACTGACAAAGTGTCGTTGGGAGGAAATTCATAATATTTCCCTACATATCCTCAAAACATTTGTTTCTGATTTCAATTTTGTGAGCTGCATTGAGTACTGAAACTAGTTGAGGAAACATTTTTGAAGACATCCTTTTTGAAAACAATCTCTCTGAAAAATAACAACAAAATACATCTAACACTACATGTAATTCCATTGCAATTATTTGATGATACATTTTCAACTTACAGCAACACTAGGTGTGACCATTATGTTGACTGTGTGTGTGATGCTTCCTCCTCGCACAGCCCAGTCCCTCCGTTTGATGGGCTTGATCACCCTATCACTCCACTGGTACAACCCAAGACTGATAGGAAACATGCAGAGAGTATGGACTTAGACATTGTATTATAGGGGGTCCTTAAATAGAAGGGAGAAAGTAGACCACCAATCACAGGACATATAGTCCAGACCCTCCCATCCCCAAACAAGATCCGGTCTACATCTGTAATAATATTTTATTTAATTGACTAGACAAGGATTGAACCTGTAACCTCTGGAAAATTGTACCAACTTACTATCAACTCTGCTACTGTGAGCTCTGTGTGTGTTCCTCCCATTTTGTCAATGTCTTTGTTCATGGGTGCTAGTCAGAAACCATAACCCCGTATGTGCCGTGTGGCCAAGGATCAAACCCCCAAAATGTATGATACCAGTAATGCTACAAACCCTGGAAATGGGAAAATCAGGGATCACTAAGACAGGATATGGCTCTTCATTACAAAATGTTGTATAAACACTCTGTGCTAATATTTGTATGAGTATGTTGTAATGACAAACCTGTGATTCTAGGTATAATCTAGTTTTACAACGTTTCTGAGGCCACAACTTTACCTTTCATTAAATGGTGGCAGACCTGATGCATCTCTAGGGGTGAAGGGATTACCATCACTATCTCGGTAGAAAGCATACAGGGCAGCAGTGAAACCCTGAGACAAAAGAGAAGACAAAAGATACATCAAATGAGAAAAGCTTTAAAAACAAATGCACAGATGTATACTTTTGGGCCGGAAAATCCAGAGGTTTCATTCCAAAATTGAAACTGAAAGCACAATAGTGGTCGTGTTTTATGGTTTTGCAAACAAGTATCAAGAACAACATCATCAGATCACATTGTCCATTTGAAACCAGTACGTGTTCAAGTCAATCGGTATCGGTTTATGGCGACACCATGTACCATGCACTAACCATTGATACTGAAACTCAGCCATCGGATCAGGGAGCAAACTTTTTGTAGGTGCAAAGTTTTTGTAGATAATATTTTATTTATAAATTGTCAAACAATTAAACTTTAAAAAAAATGCAACACATGAAACTTGTTCTCATATTTTGTCTTGATTTATGGAGATCTATCAAGGATTGAAAATGATTTGTTTTCTGGTACTTTCTGACTAATAATTTCACCAAAGCAAGTTTGATCTTTGGGTATATTTCAATGGGAAGTTTTACTACCTCGACCCTTTTTTCCAATTTCATGGAAATTACCCCAAAGGCCCGCAAAGTAAAGCCTACTTAATTTCAGAAAGTACTTCCACATTGTCAACGCTCTCCAATTTGTTTATAATTTGCATAAGGGCTATAATTTGAATTGCCCATATACATGTAGGTCTGTATACAGGTACATGTATTATGAATGTATTAATTCGTGACAAGTCTAGCTTGTTTAGTTACTAACACTGTAGACAAAACCCTTGTGACTTAATAGGATTCTTACCAGTGAGTGGATAATCTCATGCTGTACTGTAGTAAGTTGCATGGTGTGCTGGACGGGGTCACTGGTTAACGCTTGAGGACACAAGTTGATGTAACCAGCAATTGGTCTACAAAGAAAACACATGAAACAATTCTATTCCAACCACAGACAATACGGGCGATTCACAATAGTGCGCCTCCAAGAGTTTGCAACGCGTTGGCCAATCACAATGCGCAAAATCTGTCGACCCAATGCGCGTTTGGAAAAGGTTGACTGATTTCGCGCATTGTGATTGGCCAACGCATTGCAAACTCTTGGAGGCGCACTATTGTGAATCAACCGTATTGATTGGATAGGATCAAGAGTTGTTTTTTGGTGGATTTCCAGTGGCTAAGGTTAATATGCATACTGAAACACAATTGGAATCAGAGTTATTTTTGTCATTCTGTTAGGTTTTGTGGGATGGGACACAATGACAAGTTGTAATCAAGTATTCACAAGTCATCATGTTATCACAATTCCTCAAAAGTCATAACAAGTCAATCACAAGTTATTAAGTCGGGTCAAATCAAATGTTATTGTTTGTCCCCTATAACTGACTTGTGATTGACTTGCGACTGACCATTCTTAGGAGTTTTGTGGAAAAGTATATGTTGATTTACACGTCCAGCCAATTTGGGATCGGGCTGCCGCATTTCATCCAAAGTCATCATAAGTCATCGCATGCCATCACAAGTCATCCACGGTCAATCATTAGTCAAGCAAAAGTCATTCAGTCTCAAGTCAAGTATTAGTAATTCAAACGAATTGCCAAAGGTTCATCCCCCCTTACTTTTGATATGACTTGTGATGAACTTATTACAACTGACTTGATTTCAACTCTGAGATACAAACACAAGTACCAACCTATCTTGGCTGGCCTCCAACTGACAGAATGACGCGTGGGCCGTGGTGTCTGCAATCCGACAATCAGAGGTGTTCTCAGCGGTCACGTACAGGATGAAATCTGTGTCAGCCACACCCGGCCCAGTCTCGCCTCCGCTCTTGTGGCAATTGCTCTGCGTTTCATCACAGGTGTAACAAGCCTAAACAGGGAACAAAGTGCTAAAGTCAATTAATTAAAGGTTCAAAATGAATTAAATTTGAACAATGCTTAAGTCTCTTAGATACAGAGTCTGCCACTGAACTCTTATGGGACTGAAATTTAAATACATGTAGTCTATAAACGCTGTAATTTAAATGTAATTTAGATATTTACATGATAAAATGTTGAAATACATGGTACAAGTACTGCATTTCGCATCTTTTCATACTTCTCTTAAACCTTCCTTTACAGTAATTTACAAAAGAAATCCAACTTACATGTAGATGTTTGTCAGGAATGGTGACCGGTCCGCACCGTGTGATGCTGTTGCATGATCCCGAGCAGTATTCATGGGTGTCGTTAGCCAATGTGTAGTAATGAGAAAAGGCACACGCTCTGCCATTGGAAACAGGAGGGAAAATAGTTGACATAACTTCCTCACCATACCATAATCATGGTGAAGACAAAAACACAACGAATTTTGTACATCAGGGCATGAAAGCTACATTCTGCCGATAACATCACCAAAAGAAAGAGATGTGTATTAAGGACTGGGTCTCCCGGACAGACTTTTTTTGGTGCCAGGTCTTGATAAATTACTGAAACGGGAAAATACTCCAAAATCTTCGCATCTTGGGGTGATCAATCATTTTCTCACGCAGGTCCTCATCTTTGGAACAAACTACCCCTCGCCATTCGCAATATCTCATCGCTTTCTGAATTTAAAGTTGCCCTTAAGACCTATTTGTTTCAGACCACTCAGAATATTCTTGTTTAGTTAAATTTAATTGTTTTGTTATTTCTGATTTGATATAATTTTTGTTTGCGCCATGAGCGTCATTTATGGCGGATAATGGCGCGGTATAAATTTCCGTTACTATTATTATTATTATTATTCATCACTGTTTCAAAACAATTTGTAGCATTTTCACAATTTTGATTTCTGCAAATGTTTTAAGTACATTTTCTATCTAAAGGCACGTAGTATCATTTGCATTGATCCTGAAAGTAACCCACTGAATTACTATCCAAAAAGCTTACTTGGATTAAAGATCATACACGTACTGAACATCCCGTAAAAAATTATTCTGTGTGGCTTATACTGTCATTTAGAAGAAATCAAGAAATATAGGTGATTTCCAACAATCAGTCAATTGACTGGTTTTTGGAAATAAAGAGTGCTGTTAACAAATCGTGTTTCGTGATCCAAAGGTTGTGCACTGTTTTTCACCGTTTTCTCGAAAAATGTAATATCCACTGAGCTGAAACTTCAAAGTATTGAACATTCTGTTTTGGATTTTGAGTTGTGTTATTTTTGGAAACAAACAAAATGCATGAAAAGTAAATGATCTGATATGCCTTTCATTTTATGTTTTTTTGAAGGGCATCAGGACGAAAGACTGGAGCAAGTCTAGCCTCACCTGTTTAACCTGATGGGACCTGTTGAAGTTGACCTGACATTCAGCATACGGGAAATGGAACGGACAGCTTTAGGTAAAAGATCATTCTGTAGAAAAAAAACAACAAATTGGAAAAACACAATTAAATTTAGATCATCTAATTTTTTATTTTGTAACTTTGTACTAAATGTATACGTCAATGTCTATTTCATACTATTGAACCTTTTGGAGTCATTGACCGAATTCATGCTAGCGTTCATAAAGCTAATGGTTTAGAACACCTAAGACCATCCTAATTCCATGAACACACTTGGACAATGCCTCTAAAGATTACATACATGTACATGTACATAGTGTATGTTCTCTTCCGACTATGTACAAAGCTAAGGCCATTCAAATCAAATACAATGTATGTTATTAACAGGTACATGTACGTGTACATGTATTCTGATTTATACAGGGCTCTACATGTACATGTAAATGTTTATGTACATGCATGTATGGTACATGCTCATTGAATGTGTTGCAAAAACATGGACATCCATGCACATGTGACAAGCTACAATGTAGTGTTCTCCTGTATGCTACATGTACATGTACATCATGAGTGACTATAGTGGCAAGTCATGTACCGGTTCATGTTCTTCAAGTACATTTTTCGAGTACATTTTTTTAGGGATCAACATTTACAATGTTCAAGCATGTTCAGGTACATATGCTACACCAGCAGGAACATGTGCATGTAAAAGAGAAAAAGTTCTGAAGACAAACACGCTTACTTGTATGAAAGTCTTGTCCTTATATCCCTTGACAGAGACTTGCAAAGGACATTTTAAATGTACCTTTAACACTGTCAAAGATACAAGTACTGCACACAGTGTGCATGAGACACTTCTTGAGAGCAATAAACCACTCTCCGCATGGGTTGTCTATAGCCTTCAGGCATGTCAGGCAATGGATGTCTGGACAAAGCACACTATACACCCACATGTACATGTACTTGTACAAATTACATTAGGCTTGAAAAAAGTTAGAGCATTACGATAGGCCAGAAAATATTAATCCATCAGATATCATGTACACATGTACACTCCAATGACTTTCTGCAAAAATCAGAATGGAAACATTAAATTATCTCACAAGGTAGAGGAACAGGATGATACCCAACAGACAATTTTTATTCCATACATGTCAAAGACTTTCACATACAGAATGGAAAGAAAACAATTTTCATTTCAAAGAGTTGAATGTATGCCCTCTCTTCCTCCTTGGGGCCGTATAATCTGTAACACACCAGGGCCACCTCCGCATTGTGACGGATACAGTAATTGGGGATCAGTAAGTGGCTGGTTGCTATGGCAACCCATACATCTCCCTAATGATGGGTAGGGTTGGATAAGAGGCAGCTTGGATACTTAGCAATTACAATGCACCGTACCGATATGTTGTACATTACATACGTGTACGGTACATGTTTGTATTGATACAGGTACTGTTTATTGTATGCATCCATGCTCGGCAGTATATTGGTCTCAGGCACTTAGAAATTATGAAACTTAACTCTCAATGATTTTTTTTCATGGTAAACTGATGGATTGAGCATTTAAAGGTACATGTTTGTGTTATGATTGAGAACCAGTTCAATAATAGCGGGCATGGCTGATGAACACCTGGGAATTTCATTATGTAGACAGTAGTTGGAAATACAGGTAATGTATGTAGGCCTATCTAGGAATACTTGAATTATAACTTACAAAATGAATGCAAATTTTGTATGCATACAGGAAGGAACCAGAAAAAACATTTTGTATGTATACAGGAAGGAACCAGAAAAAAACGTTTTGAATGCATACAGGAAGGAACCAGAAAAAACAAAACTGTAACTTCTTATGTAAGTAAATGTAGCTCGACACAAACAACTTTATATAAATAACAAAAATGAGGAAGTCAACTATTGACCCGTGTAAGTCATTGAACACGAAACAATCCAAACATCAAACAAGCCCATTAAAAAAAGGTAATTATAACCTAAAAAGTAATTCAATTCACGCATTCCTCAACGTTGAACTTTCACATAATCAAAATATAAAAATAACAAGGGTGAAATAAAAACAAAAAAACCAAAAAAAACCCTTAATTTAAAATTAGTATAGAAAACCACAGGGATATATCAAAAAGGTTACTGAACTAAACATCAACAAGCCAATTCGGGCGATTCACAATGCAGTGCGCCACCAAGAGTTTGCCACGGAGAGTTCAATTTTCCCAGTGCATTGTGGGAGATGGTCGAAAAATTCGCAGCGCGGGACATTTGAAATTGTTCGTTTTTCCGGTCAGTAGTTTTGTAAGCGTATGATTCGAGTATCTGTTTGCCCTTTTCTTTTCTTGTTATTCATGTGTTATTAACCCTTACTCTCTGAGGGTAGTTTACTGCATGTCAGTTGGTTATGCCAATGCCCTCCAGCTGCAGTTTATTGGCAGATAGTTTTATTTAACAGTGAAGGCTCCAATTGGCAGGAGTTGGAGGCCCTGGAGGGTGCCTGATACTGACCAGCTGGGGGCACTCACTTTGTTATCAGAGGACTCTCATTGTTCTCTGTGGCATGTATTGGAGTGCCTGTCCAATTACCCTTGAAATGACATGGCAGATATTGGAGGGCCATGCAAAAAACATAGGAGATTTTCTTGAGGCACATATTGGCATGCGTTGGAGGGTCAAGTAGGGTAAGGGTTAATGTGGTTTTTTTTGTACGGTCAGAAGGTATATGCCCCAATTTATAACGAATTAGCTCAAGTTGTCTACTGACACTCATTCAAAGGGCCATGTTTTGTCGATCAAATATTAAAAGAAAAAGACTGAAATAGAAACACAAAAACAAGAATACTCTAAACCAAAAATAGTAAAGGAAAGTGTTTTTCTAAATGACCTTTTTTGTAATAAGTCACATGACAACATACAGTTGTCATGGTTGTACAATAGTTTACCACAAAAAAAACCCCACCAAAACAAAAAAAACAAAGAAATTTCAAAATTTCCCTTATTAAAAATAGACCCAATCAACCACAAAAACATGTCGGAATTGCAACAGGCGTAGAACTGGCTCACCACTGTCTTGGTTCACAATATCAGTATCACCGCTCAATATGTTGTCAAGAAGTAATCTTGAATTGTTTTGACGAGGGCCGCCTTCCTGACAGATAATGTCAACTGGAAGTGGTTTATTTATTTTGGGGCTTCGGCTCGTCTTGTATGAATCACATCAAAATCAAATCCCGATGCTAAGGTGAAGAATATGTTGTGCGTCAATGCATGGACATGTAGCATGTTAGGGATGAACATGGGCTTTTCACAGATTGCACAATGGGCAACTTTTGAGGCGTTGGTGACAGCAAACATACCGGTCCTTTTTCCATTGTTTGCGTCATATTGAGCATGCGTGCTTTGGCTTAAATATGACGTAAACAATTGAAAAGGACCTGTATATTTGCTGCCACCAACATATAAAACGTCTCCCAATGTAATGAACGTTATGAAATTTGTAGGGTGTGAAAATGGTACAAGCATCTGTTAGGCCGAGAAAAAAATTGTGTCGGGCCTCACAGTCGCCCTCTTCATCAATATAGGTTATTCTTAACAGGTTTTGAAACTCAAAATATACGCTTTTAAAGGTTTTCTTCCATGTGCCAAAATATTGGCATGTTTTTAAGGTGCAAAACCATGCAATATTTTGGCTTGACTGGTAGCAGAAATATAGCAAATAACTTCCATCAAGTTCTTGACACTAGATTAAATGTACCTAAACCAAATTTCATGCAAATTCGCCTTATTCTAAAACAAGTTTGTAAACAAAAATCTCAGAGCTACCCCCGGTAGGTATACTGACAATGTTGTTATGTTGGCGTAATGATAACCCAACTTGTGGGTCAAATTGATTTTTACAATTTTCTTTAATTTTGTTTTTGAAATGTATGGCAGAATAAAAATATAGGTTTACATCGGTTATGTACAATTGTAGGTTACGTTAAATAAAATAATGGTTACGGAATTTCCGATAGAAGGCGTCAAGACGCAGTCTTGTTCTGCATAATTAATTGCCAATTGCATCACAGACTCTTGGCACGTGTGCAAGAGGATATTCTATAGACTGGGGGGGGGGGGGGCAGCAGTGACGTATATTGCAAACCATATTTCCTGAAGGATGTTGTATCTTGTAAGTTGATGTTATTACATATATATGTACACAAATGTACTTGTTTTTTTTTAAGACAGTTTCTTTCAGGAAGTTAAACTCTTTGACTTCAGTAAAATCCTCAAAGACTAAACCCCGTGTACAGTTTACATGTATCTTCAAGCAAAATTTAATTCTCGATCCTAAATGGTTGATCCATGGCAACAACAGTTGTGGTATCGTCCCGTATGCCATGGTCCATATTGCACTCCCTTTATCACGCTATCCCTTTATTCCTGCTGCACGCACGTGTAATAGGATAACCGTTGACAAGTTCGTGTACAGCGTGCTCGTTCCATCTTTACTGTGCGTCAAGTTTGCTTGAAGATAAATAAGTTATTCACTCATTCTCGTGTCACAGGGAAAATGTAGTGCATCTGTGTCCCATTTGCACTGACGCACTACGTTATTCCGTGTTCCACTAGCGCTTGTGCGATAACTAATAGTACCATAGTGTTTCAATTGAGCCCAAAGAAACACATTGATACACATTTACTGAATGGCAAACCTTAACGAGAAGTGAAGTCGCAGCGGGTAAGGAGTCGACATCATCTTCGTATTCCACATGGATTCGTAGCGGATGTGAAGCGCTCCTTCGCTTTAGTCTATCCCCAGGTGCCTGCTCAAGATGTACACCGTGCTTTATCTGTAACAAACAACATCATGGCATTAATGGACTCATATGTGTGGTTTCGTAAATTTGTTCGTTAATTTGAAAATTTGTGATCATTTATGAGGAAATGAATGATCAGATTTCATTTGTTTTACAGGAACCTACCATAATATGTGCAACTTTAATAGGCATAAGAAAGCAGGATGCTAAAATATAAATATAACCATCATGAAATCTTTCTTTCCAACAGTTTAAAACTACATTTCATAATCATGGATTTAAAACTTTGAAACTTTATTTGGAGAAGGAAGGGATGAGATTCAAGAGAGACCACCTTTGTGTGTGTGTGTATATTGAGATTTGAGAAGGGTTTTTACAATGTACCGTATCTCTGCTAGTCCCCCCCCCCCCTCATCTTGCCACTATTGGGATTGGACATGCCTAGTTCATATAAAGTCAGGGCAACAAAAAAATACCGTACCTACATTTTGTGCGCTTCCTATTACATGTACCCTAGTCCCCTACCCGACCAACATGTCCAAAAACATGCAGAATTTAAATCTTTTTTATTATGGTTTGTTTTTTGATGTCAGATTTGAAGAACAACATATGTGCAAGTACAAACATGCACACATCTTTATGATTAATTACGTACATGTACCTGATATGTACGGTACATGATGACCCATACATTCTTTGTACATAAACGTATGGGGAGGGGATCCTATGTGCATGTGTCCCACTGCACAACACAAGAATATACCGTAGTACAGTGTATCACTTCTTAATTAAAACAGTGGGAGCGGGGAAAGCCAATATGGTTAGGTGAGAAGGTTAAGGATAAGTATGTCACATTGGATACTGTCAAGCTGCTATAGAAGCATGAAAAACATTCACACGTTTGCTGGCAACCAGCACAATTAATCAAAAGCAAGCTACACGGATTCGGACGGTCATGACAGTGAGGATTTATTGAGAGATGAAAAATTGAGATGTTTTGATGCCACGGTGGTCACAACAAATTTAAACATCGCACTGCTCAGAATTATGTGAAGTGCTGGCAAAATTTGCATTTAAATTATGAATTGTTTGCAACATATAGTTTTCGCATACTGACAAACAGGATATCAAACAGACTTTGCTTTAGGTAAACTTTGTCTTTTTGAAAATGCATTCTGTTGAAGTGGGGCTGTACAATACATGAAGTCTGTATAATTAAATACAAATGTCTTCCAAGTTTTCAGCTCAATGAGCTTATTCAATGAGCCCTAGCCAGTGCTTCTCGATTAAAGGGAATGTACAACATTTGCTTTTACTGCAATTTTCAGAAAAAAATGGATTAGGAGGATGAGTATATTATAGCAAATATTGTTTGAACAACTGACTTGTTTTGGCTTGTTGATGCTGGCAAAATTAAGAAAACCAATAATATTCTTGTACTTGTAGTCTGGTTCCGTGACCCACTTAAGATGAAACAGAGCAATTTATAGACTTTGGAGAATTTATAGACTTTGGGGAATTGTAAGGTAAGAGAATCAGTCTGGCAGGCTTGTACCCCACCTGTGTGTAATCTACTGCAAAGAAAATGCGGAACAACTAAATATGAACAATTTGGAGCAGTTTTAGAAAAAAGCCAAGAAAGTTTCTTGAAAATGTCAGCACACCAGCAAACAGGACGCTGGGATACTCTGATGAATTCACGCTCTGATTGGTTGGATTTTGCGTGACCTGTGCATCATCACTGTCATGACTCTGCAAGGTTTGAAACAGCCATTAAGACTGATTCATTACTCTTTTATTCCAGATTAGAGATTTTTTTTTCGTTGAAAAGCGTAATAACGTATGAAATTTTGTAAACTTTATCTGTGTTGTAAATTTACAATTCCCGTCACTTGCTCAGGCTCCGTTTCGAATCATAAACGGTTGCATTGCACTATGCGACCCTCAAAATTTTGTCCACATGGTCCGCAATGAAACAGAAATCACATCCGGTATGGAACGTGTTCATTTCTATGGGAAGTTTTCGGATAGCATTTGCGCACATTGTCTAACTGTGGTCTTGAACAGCTGCAGCCAGATTATACATAGGTCATTTCCTTCTTCACAAGATTCTGTGAAGCTCATCAGAGTATTCCAGCGTCCTGTTTGCAGGGCAAGGGGTACGAACAAAATTTGGTTTTGATTTTTGCAAATGTTGTATCTTCCCTTTAACACTCTCACTGAGACTGGTGACAATACTTGAGATTTCCACCCTGGAGAGTGAAGGGGTTACAATGAATGTACACAATGTAATGTTTCATGTATTGAGAAATTTAACAAAAAAAACGGGGATGGGATCACCACCTTTTCCAAAAACACACATGAACATGTACTTGCACTGTATTTAAATAAACATGCTTATAAATGATCGCTTCCTGTTTAATGTGAAAGAGATTCTGCAAATTATACATGTAAGGCCAAAGAAAAAAAATATTTGGTCTCTGGTCAGACCAAAGTTCCGGAATTGATGTGGCGATGAATTTTTTTTTGGGGGGGGGGGCCTTATTTTTTTTTTGAAGCTTGGATTGTACAGACAAGGTGGGTACTATTTTGCTTTTGTTGTGTCCTCATATACATGTATATTGGGGACCTCCATAATTTGCCTTGGTGCCCTCCATCATTTGCCTTGGTGCAATTTCCCCATTCCTTGGTACAAAAATTTGAGAAGGTGCGGCAATAGAGGGCGCTGCTGTAGCTACCGCGGACAATTTGAAGAAAAAAAAAGTTGACGCGCATGATTAAAATCGACGCGCGCGCTGACCAGAGACCAACTTATTTTTTTTTTGGCCCAACGTATAGATTGTATTATATAATGTGTAGTATGGATGTATCCTTGTGTGAAACACATTTTGGCATATTATGTGTACTACTAAGAACAATTATGTGAAAGACCCTACATGTATTTCAATAGACATTCATACGTGCTTCTTTGTTCACAGAGTGATTTGTGATATGGGGCTTGGATCAAAACTAATTATGTAGTCCATGAGCGACCAGAAGACTCAGCTATAGGGATAGTTGTTTATGATTTATTCCACAGTCATGACAGTAAGTTACATTGTTACAAGAGGTATGACTTGTGTACGTGTTCAAACAAAAAGTATTTACAAATGTACATTAAGTAGTTCACTATGGGTCATGTACAATGTACTTTTTCCCACTCACTTGAACCCATTCAAACATGTCAAAAGTCCAAAGTGTAATCGGCATGATATTTCTGGCACCTACATATACACCGAAGTTCAATGAAGTAATGGCTACAACCTTCATCCATGCTGTTCATGCGAACAAATTTGTACAAAATACAGGATTGGTTTAATAATATAGGCAATTATGATTTCAGCCGACAGCATTACAAATTCAGATACCAATTCATTGTGGCGGTGAAGATGTAGACCTCTTAATTGTGTTTAATTGTCTGTAGACCTATATGAGAAGCAGATTTAATTCTCATGGCAAAATGTTAGTATTTTTGGACTCACCTATACAGCTGGCACTAGTGGCAGTGATACCATGTTGAATATCAGCAGGATTTATTTTGTGGAAATATGGCAGAGTTTTGATTTGTGAGGCAACTTACGGGGTAAAAACACATTGACCACAAAACACAGGACTCAAAAATGAAGATGGCAGCAATACTGAGTAACCATGGTAACTTTGAAAGTACATGGCTGGTGAAAAACAAGCGTCAACAAAGCGTAAAAAAATTGTTCACGCACTTATCAGCAAAAATAAGGTGTTAACAATACTCAGTGGGCTGCCTAAGATTATTTCCAATGTATCACACAATTTCAAAGTATGACGCTGATCCTGTTTGTTGACATTTGTTGACAATATGTTTGTAAACAAATCCACAAAGGCCTATAATTTAGTTTCCAAAATTAAGTTGTGTGCCAAAAAAATAAGAAGCGACATCACAAAATATTTAAAAGTGGAGCGAATCATTTGCAGCTATCCAAAAAGTAGGCCCTATTAACTGACAATTTTTTGTTGAAAAGCATATGGCACTATTAAAACTCCCAGTGAAATTATTCTTTCTGGCATGCTGTCATTTTATGTGCCTTCCTATTCTGCCCCCCCCCCCCCGACGTGTACATTTTTTTTTATGTCACAGATTAAAGGGCAAGTTTTTGAATTTTTGAGGGAAATTGGGGGTAAAATGCAACACGAAAATAAAAATGGATATCACCGCACCATGTACCGTGAACGCACAATTCTTGCTGCACGGCCGGCACTAACCGGCTCGTAATTTGGGGCGTGAACCATTTAGGAAAATCACAATTTCTACCCCAAGAAACTGTTCAAAACTTACCAAAGAGGTGTCATTACATTGAGAAAAGTCTGCTTTAGTTTAGGTTGACAATGTCAGTTTTTACTTAGTAATAGTAGTAAAAAAATTCTTGATTATAATTTGATCGAAACAAAACGGATCCCTATAGCCGTATAGGCCCCCTACATACATGTACATGACATATACAACACGATCGCTTAATTCTTACCTCATTGCGAGCTGGGGGTCGGTGGACGCAGACATTCGCAGTAACCAAACCGAAGACATACAGATTTGAAAGAAGAACAAGGAGTTTACCCATATTTAAGGACCCAAGACTAACCCCTCTGAAAAACCAGTCAGCGTTCCAAATTCGGTGTCATTTTGTAATCAAACTACACTGAATAACCACATCCATTGAAAAAAAGCTTACACAATCAGTCACAAAACAAAGCGTCGCCCACACTGCCTGCTGTATCATTCATGTCATTGTTGAGCTAGCAGCAGGAGTTTCTAATTCTGAAGATAATAAACACTGCCATCTATTGACAGAAAACGTCATATGCAGAGGCGTCGGCAGAGGGTTATATTTATTGGGTTTTACGCGCCGCGCCCTATCGATATCAGGCGCTCAGTCATGATCAGCTGTATGACCGTTTTCGATCATGGAACATTTAATTGGGAAATTAATCTCGCTGTTTGCTCCTGCCATGGAGAAAACCCCAATTCGAATCGGAGGTGGGGGGAGGGGCCACCTGCCACTTGCGGCCGGGCATGCAGCGCGAGAGAGTGGCTGTTTTTTAGAGCACGGCCCCCTTTAAAATAAAAAAAAAACCATCACCCCCACCACTGAAAATTTGAGAACCAGAGAAACTCTTATTCCTTTAATTATGTTAGCATGCTTACCTCGTTATAACAAAAAGTGATCCTTTGTGCGGTTTTCTGTTTAATTTGAACGAAAACCCTAAGTATTCAAGTTATTCACAATTGGCTGTTTATCATGTATTTTTTTTTAACGTCAATGGGAAATTTACTATAGCGCCACCTATTGTCTGACATTAAACATGATGTCGGTTTTGATTAGCGCCCCATAGGAAGATGTTGTCCAGCCCCACCCCCTTCCCTCCCTTCCCCCTTCCCCCTTCCCCCTTCTCCCCTTCTCCCCTTCCCCCATCCCCAATTTTCTGATTTTACGGAGGCTGGGTGTCTTGTGAAAAAAAAGTCTAGTTCAAGATGAAATTGGCCACCCCTCCACTGTAACATCCAACCCCCACTCGCCTCCCCCAAGCACGCGGGAGGGAGCAAAATTTTGTTATGGGAATATTAAGGGCATTTTGTTGCCCCCCATAAAATACTGGTGCCCCTAGCCCCATTTAAAAAAAAATCCTGCTCCGTATCTCAGCTTTTTGTATTCCCGACTTATGATGATTTGTGAAATAAAGTAACGATTTACACAACCACAAGTGACGTGAAAATTCCTTTCTCAAAGTAAAACTGAACTATCTACAAAATTGATATTGAAAAAAAAATGCTTTAGAAATGTTGCGAAGCTTCAACTAATTTTACGGTACATTTTGGAAAATTATAATAAAACAGACAAAGATACCGCAAGTTGTTGCGATCAAGGTGCCGACATCACTTTACGTGAACACTTGGGGAAGGGAATCTCGACACCAAATATTGTTGGTTATTTGATAATTATTCCTGACCCTTCTATGTATATCCTTCCACGCAAATGTGCTCTCACGATGAAGTGCATGAGAGCAAAATATTCAAAATAAAGCGGTTTTTTTCCTTGGCAGATACGGATGGCACTAACCCTTGCGGCCCATGCAGCGACCCATGCAGCGACCAGGAAGGTTTTCTTTCAAGTCGGAGACGGGAGGTATCAAGTGCGGTGAGTTTCAATTCTTTGCATGAATCACAGTGGGGGAAAATGCAGACTTTGGTTCTTTCAAAGATAAATGAGGAATTCAAAGTCACTGGATTTTTCCTCACTGTAAAGCAACCGTAGCTGCACCGATGAGAGACCTCCAGGAGGATTTCTGACACGGGATCCCGTCAATTAGTCGTCGAGTACGTGAAGCTTGAGAGAGCCATCAACAACATAGTAGCATTGGCTCCTCTAGATATTATTTCAGCTAAAAGTAACGAATGCAGCTTTTTTGTGTGTGGGAAATCCCGCCATGTATAGGTCTGTCAGCCCACGCGATACTGGCTCCCTGCATCTGAATAACAAATGTATGTGGCAACGCAACGTCTCAGACAAATTATACTATAGCCTATATAATGGTTGATAGAAATGCTGTAATCTCGGCTGGACAGTTCTAGAGAAAGCTCATGAGCAGGGCAACAAGAAGCAAAACAAACAACTTCTTAGGCACAATAGTTTGGAGAAAGTCACAGATGTGTTTTATGTAACCCCTTGTATCACTTGGCACAGTACGTCCCGTAGAAAGGCATGTCAGATCTGCGCGATTTCGCCTTGAAATATCGCAATACAAATGCCCTTAAAAATGAAATATTCAAACAAACTAGTCCCACAGAAAGGCATATCAGGGCCGCGCTTTTCCAGCTTGATATATCGGAATAAAATTCCCTTGAACATGGACAATTCCAAACAATTATATATGCTTAGAGAGCTAATGAGTAGGGCAATAAGATGCACAAATATTCAAGTTCATAGACCCAACAGTTTTGGAGAAAATCGCAGATGTATTCAATTTCACCCCCTAGTTTCACTTTGTGCAGTAACTCCCATGAAAAGGCATGTCTGGTCTCGCGGTACGAGCTTGATATATCGGATTAAAAATGCCCTCGAAATGGAATTTTCCAACAGACTATACATGTTTTTTTTAGCAAGCTAATTAGCAGGGCAATAAGATGCAAAGGCATTCAAGTTCGTAAACCAGCACGTTTGGAGAAAATCGCAGATGTTTGAATTTCACCGCCTAGTTTAATTCACTTGTGCAGTAAGTCCGATAGAAGGGCACGCCATGGCCTCGCAGTGTGATAAAGGTACTTTAGAATGCAAAATTGTAGACGAACTCTATGTTGTTCGAAAGCTACTGAATAGGTCTACAACATGCAAAAACAAGCAAGTCTTGAGACCCAAGACTTTTGGAGAAAAAGCAAGATGTAGTCACTGAATCCCGCTAGTTGCGTTTTGTGCAGTAAGTCCCATAGCAAGGGCTGTCAGCGCCAGCCGACATGTCGCGGTCTAAAGGTACCTTAACATGGATGGATTTTGACAAACTATAACTTGTTGGATAGCGGATGAATAAGCCAACAAGCTGACAAATCTGCAAGGCTTCAGGCTTGAAACTTTTGGAGTGAGCCCCAGACGTAGGTACATGATGCCCCCAGTTTCGTTTTTGTGCAGTAAGTCCCATAGCAAGGGCTGTCAGCGCCAGCCGACATGGCTCTCATGTGTCGTGGTCTAAAGGCACCTTAACATGGATGGATTTTGACAAACTATAGCTTGTTTGATAGGCCAACAAGCTGAGAAATCGGCAAGGCTTCAGACTTGAAACTTGTGGAGTGAGCCCCAGACGTAGGTACATGATGCCCCCAGTTTCGTTTTTGTGCAGTAAGTCCCATAGCAAGGGCTGTCAGCACCAGCCGACATGGCTCTCATGTGTCGCGGTCTAAGGTACCTTAACATGGATGGATTTTGACAAACTATAACTTGTTGGATAGCGGATGAATAAGCCAACAAGCTGACAAATCGGCAAAGCTTCAGACTTAAACTTTTGGAGTGAGCCCCAGACGTAGGTACATGATGCCCCCAGTTTCGTTTTTGTGCAGTAAGTCCCATAGCAAGGGCTGTCAGTACCAGCCGACATGGCTCTCATGTGTCGCGGTCTAAAGGTACCTTAACATGGATGGATTTTGACAAACTAACTTGTTGGATGGCGAATGAATAAGCCAACAAGCTGACAAATCGGCAAGGCTTCAGACTTGAAACTTTTGGAGTGAGCCCCAGACATAGGTACATGATGCCCCCAGTTTTGTTTTTGTGCAGTAAGTCCCATAGCAAGGGCTGTCAGCGCCAGCCGACATGGCTCTCATTGTCGCGGTCTAAAGGTACCTTAACATGGATGGATTTTGACAAACTATAACTTGTTGGATGGCGGATGAATAGGCCAACAAGCTGACAAATCGGCAAGGCTTCAGACTTGAAACTTTTGGAGTGAGCCCCAGACGTAGATACATGATGCCCCCAGTTTCGTTTTTGTGCAGTAAGTCCCATAGCAAGGGCTGTCAGCGCCAGCCGACATGGCTCTCATGTGTCTCGGTCTAAAGGTACCTTAACATGGATGGATTTTGACAAACTATAACTTGTTGGATGGCGGATGAATAGGCCAACAAGCTGACAAATCGGCAAGGCTTCAGACTTGAAACTTTTGGAGTGAGCCCTAGACATAGGTACATGATGCCCCCAGTTTCGTTTTTGTGCAGTAAGTCCCATAGCAAGGGTGTCAGCGCCAGCCGACATGGCTCTCATGTGTCTTGGTCTAAAGGTACCTTAACATGATGGATTTTGACAAACTATAGCTTGTTGGATGGCGGATGAATAGGCCAACAAGCGGACAAATCTGCAAGGCTTCAGACTTGAAACTTTTGGAGTGAGCTCCAGACATAGGTAATGATGCCCCCAGTTTCGTTTTTGTGCAGTAAGTCCCATAGCAAGGGCTGTCAGCGCCAGTCGACATGTCGCGGTCTAAAGGTACCTTAACATGGATGGATTTTGACAAACTATAACTTGTTGGATGGTGGATGAATAGCCAACAAGCTGACAAATCGGCAAGGCTTCAGACTTGAAACTTTTGGAGTGAGCCCCAGACATAGGTACATGATGCCCCCAGTTTCGTTTTTGTGCAGTAAGTCCCATAGCAAGGGCTGTCAGCGCCAGCCGACATGGCTCTCATGTGTCGCGGTCTAAAGGTACCTTAACATGGATGGATTTTGACAAACTATAACTTGTTGAATGGCGGATGAATAGCCAACAAGCTGACAAATCGGCAAGGCTTCAGACTTGAAACTTTTGGAGTGAGCCCATGACATAGGTACATGATGCCCCCAGTTTCGTTTTTGTGCAGTAAGTCCCATAGCAAGGGCTGTCAGCGCCAGCCAACATGGCTCTCATGTGTCGCGGTCTAAAGGTACCTTAACATGGATGGATTTTGACAAACTATAACTTGTTGGATGGCGGATGAATAGGCCAACAAGCTGACAAATCGGCAAGGCTTCAGACTTGAAACTTTTGGAGTGAGCCCCAGACATAGGTACATGATGCCCCCAGTTTCGTTTTTGTGCAGTAAGTCCCATAGCAAGGGCTGTCAGCGCCAGCCGACATGGCTCTCATGTGTCGCGGTCTAAAGGTACCTTAACATGGATGGATTTTGACAAACTATAACTTGTTGAATGGCGGATGAATAGGCCAACAAGCTGACAAATCGGCAAGGCTTCAGACTTGAAACTTTTGGAGTGAGCCCAGA